CAGTGGAGGTTTGGGGAACTACTTGCCCCTGGGTGAACAAGAGCAAACACAGTGCCTTAGCCTTGATGGGACAGATCTTGCTGTGGGCTGTAGGGTGCTGGCTACACAGAGGGAACATGAGGTGTCCTCTGTTTTTCCTAAGCATTGCATGGTTCCATTCAAGCAGCTGCAAGGGCACAGTGGTACCCTACTGTTGTCCCCAGTCACAGGGTAAAGATGGTACTTGCTTTCTAGTGGCTGCTGAGGGCTGGCTCCCTACAGTTTTATTTCTCAAGTGGAAACACATGACTTAAAAAATATTTAAATCAGGGGTGAGAGATGGCTCAGTGGTTAAGAGCATTGGCTGCTCTTCCAATGGACCTGGCTGGGTTCGGTTCCCAGCACCGACGTGGCAGCTCACAACTGTGTGTACCTCCAAGATCTGACACCGTCACACAGACATAAATGCAGGCAAAAACCAATGCACCCACAATAAAAATAAAAATAAAGCCAGCTGAGGCAGTGCATGCCTGTAACCCCAGCACTTGGGAGATTGAGACAGGAATGAAGTTCAAGGCTACCCTGGACTATAGGGATGCCAGAGTGCCTTGTCTCAAAAGCATCAGACAGTCTGGGTTTGGCTCAGTGGTTGGTAGTGCACTCCTTAGCATGCAGAGGCCCAGGACTCCAACCCTAGTACTGGGTAGAAAGAATCATTGTGTTCTCTCTCCCACTCGTGTGTGTGTGTGTGTGTGTGTGTGTGTGTGTGTGTGTGTGTGTGTGTTCATGTCCATGGCGCACACATCTAGTTTTTATTATTGATTATGTTTGTAGATTTATGCATGTGAGTGCAGGTGCCCTTAGATCCCAGAAGAGAACATCAGATCCCCCGGGAGTTAACAGTGGTTGTAAGCGAGCTGCCTGTCCTGGGTGCTGAGCCATCTCTGCAGCCTCCTCCACTCCCTGCTCTTGTTGGGAAGGTTGTATGAGGAAGAAAAAGAAATCAAAGTATTACATTAAAGAAAACAGCTGTTTCTGTGAGAGACTCCTGAGCCTTGTGCTCTTGTCACTGGGGTCGGTGGCACCGCGGGTGATGGAAAGGGGATGACCCTGCTCACACGCTGCTTTCTCATTCCTAGTGGGATCTTGGTGTGCACTGACGTGATGGCCCGGGGGATTGATATTCCCGAAGTAAACTGGGTGTTACAGTACGACCCTCCCAGCAATGCCAGGTATGTGAGGTTCTGTTCCTCTGTGTAGGGATTGAGCCGGGTAAGTTATGAACCTGGAGGAAGGTGAGTGTGCACTGAAATATTAAACATTTTGATTTGTTTTTTTGAGACAAGAGTCTCATGTAGCCAGGGTTGGTCTTGGACTTCTGTTTGTCCTGCCTTCACCTCTTAAGTGCTGGGGTTGCGGGCATGTGTTACCACATCTGGCTTAAAGTTTTGAAATTGAAGCACTCTACCATTTGGATTATAGCCTAGCTCCTGAAACATTACATTCCAGAAGTAGGCAAGTGGCCATAGAGTTTTTGATATGTTAATACTGGTGTGTTGTTCTAGCAATCATGTTCAGTTAATAGCCTGCGCTACTGAGTTGAGACTCTGTCAACAGAATGGTGTGTGTAGAGGGATAAGTAAGGAGAAGAAAACTCCACTAGTTAAAGTTCATGCAAAAGTGCAAAGTACAGTATATTGAAAAGAGCAACAATTACTCCAAATAAACTACATATCTCTCTGAAACTGAGTGGACACTCCTTATACTTATTTATTTTTGGGTTTTCTTTCTTTCCTTTTTTTCCGAGTCAGGGCTTTTCTGTATTGGTTTGGAACCTGTCCTGGAACTAGCTCTGTAGACCAGGCTGGTCTTGAACTCACAGAGATCCGCCTGCCTCTGCCTCCTAAGTGCTGGAATCAAAGGCATGCACCGCCACCGCCCGCTCTCCTCACTCACGTCTAAATGTCCGAGTTGCAGTCAAATCCCAAGTGATGCATTTTCCAACATCTGTCCTTCCAGGGCACTTTCTCTTTATGCTTTTTCTTCAGTTTTCCCTTGTGACCCTGCTGTGTGACCTGAGGCAGCCCAGCTTTGGCCAGGTGTCTTAGGTCAGTAGACTGTCCGTCACAGTCCTGTCTGCAGCGACTACTACTTTGCAGCTCTTCTATGCTCACTGGCTGGTCGTCAAGTCAGCCCTGAGCTGTGGGGCCTGGTGGCTCTATACAGCACGAGGTAGCGCAACAGCTGCATGGCAGGAGTCTGACTGTGCTCACGGTCACCCCTGGGGTATTGTCCCATTCTGTTCCCCTAGTGCCTTTGTGCATCGATGTGGACGTACAGCCCGAATTGGCCATGGTGGCAGCGCTCTGGTGTTCCTACTACCGATGGAGGAGGCATACATCAACTTCCTGGCCATCAACCAGAAAGTAAGCAGCACACTGACCTGGTAGCTGGTGGTCAGCATCTGAGATGAGGGCCTGCAGACTCACTGGGCTAGGTTGTGGGGAGGAATTGGCTAGCATCGTGACTTGGGAACACTGCCTTTTGCTGCCCCCATATCTTACCAGTCAAGACTGTTATGTGCAATGTCATTTTCAAACTTAAAAAATTCCAAACTCCTGCTTGACTAAGGAATGTGTTTAGGTTGGCTCTGGCTCTTGGTGCACTATGCTGCCCTTGGTTTATTAGCTCTGGGAGGTACTGGGGTTGGAGGGACTGCAGAGAGGGTGAACTGGTGGTCTCTGTGCAGTGCCCCCTGCAGGAGATGAGCCTCCAGAGAAACACAGCAGACCTTCTGCCGAAGCTCCGGGCCATGGCCATGGCTGACAGGGCAGTGTTCGAGAAGGGCATGAAAGCCTTTGTGTCCTTTGTCCAGGCTTATGCAAAGCATGAGTGCAGCCTCATCTTCAGGCTGAAGGGTAAGTGGGGGCTTCGCCTTCTCTAACAGGTTTCTTTCTTTCTTTCGTTCTTGTTTTGTGGCAGGGTCTTTCGGTAGTCCTGGCTATGTAGATCAGGCTGGCCTCAAACTCAAGAGATTTCACCTCTGCCTACCAAATACTGGGATTAAAGCTGGGTGTGGTGATAGCTGTCTGTCACAGTGTCTGTCATAATCATGTTTCTTAATTCTCTGAGTCTTTGAGTGACAAGGGTTGCTTTGTCTTAATAAAATATGTGGCATGTTAGGGTTAGTGTTCTTTAAATCTTTTGAAGGGAATCCTACCCCCCCCCCAAAAAAAAAAAGAAGTCCTGTATAGGGCTCTGAGTAGAGGCAAAAAAAAAAAAAGTCATTTCCATCTTGAGAAAGTTTTTAAAAAAATTCTAATTAAAGTGAATTTATTATACCATTTAATTAAGAAACATAATGAAGAACCTCTGAGCCCGACTGTGATGTCTTCCAGTGCTGACGCTAAGCTCTTCTCTGTTAGATCTTGACTTTGCCAGCCTTGCTCGAGGGTTTGCCCTGCTGAGGATGCCTAGGATGCCAGAACTGAGGGGGAAGCAGTTTCCAGATTTTGTGCCCACAGACATCGACACTGACACAATTCCATTTAAAGATAAAATTAGAGAAAAACAGAGGCAGAAACTTTTGGAGCAAAAAAGAAAGGAGAGAACAGAAAATGAAGGGAGAAGAAAATTCATTAAAAATAAAGCTTGGTCAAAGCAGAAGGCCAAAAAGGAAAAGAAGAAGAAGATGAATGCAAAGAGGAAAAGAGATGAGGTAACGTGGGATGCTCTTACTCCACCTTAGAATTCTGACATTGCACTGGAAGAAATCTAGTGTGCTATGAGAACAGCAAGGTGGCCTGTGCTTGCTCTCCATGTCCAAGGCCAGCCTGGGCTATGTGGATGCCTCACTCCCCCATTGGTTTTGGGGGCCCGTGGTGTGTTAGCTGACCCTGGAGCTTTTAGGCTCAGCAGGATCAGCGGCTCTCTGGGGCCACACAGCTGACAGTCATTTTACTTCTTCTGTACTCAGGGTTCTGATATCGATGACGAGGACATGGAGGAGCTCCTTAACGATACAAGGCTCTTGAAAAAGTTTAAGAAAGGTAGAATCACAGAGGAAGAATTTGAAAAGAGGCTGCTGACAAGTGCCAAAACAACAGTCCAGCTGACAGACTTAGAGGTCTCAGACTTGGAAGAGGATGGCTGACTTAAGAGCCTCAGGGGAAGGTCATCACACTGCTGGCTCACACTCCTGCCCCTCGGAAGGCTGTTCTGGAAAGCTGTCTGTGCAGACTGGGAGAAGCCAAAGGACTGCACACTCATGAGCACTACAGTCCCACCAGAGTCTCACAGAAGCCTTTTGTTATTTGAGTATAAATAACAGATATCAATATTTATTTTTACTAATTCTGCTTTTTCTGAGGTATTTTTTGTGCTTTATTATAGACTTAGAAAATGTATATACACACACACTTATTTTAAATTATTATCGTTTAAAAACGGATAATGAAGTACACTTGATTTTAGGCATTGTAAAATTTCTAAGTATTGCTGGGTGGTGGAGGTGCACACCTTTATTCCCAGCAGAGGCAGAAGGATCTCTGAGTTCAAGGCCAGCCTGGTCTACAAGAGCTAGATAGAAAAACCCTGTCTCAAAAAAACAAAAACAGAAAATTCTATTTATTCTCAGTCACATGATCTCCCCTCGCCACCTCAACACTGCATGTCCTTTGCAGCGGTCTGGAGTACCCGCAGAGACAGAGGTGGCTATGTGCAGGGGGTTCTTCCCTCTCTTTTTCTTTGTAATGGGGGCTACACTATATAGTCCATGATGCTTTCACACGGATCCTCCTGCCTCAGCCTCCCATGTGCTGGGCTCCCAGGCTGGTGCCACCTCACCCAGACTGGGGTGAGAACATTTTAGAATTAACTTTGGTGCTACTTTATTGGCAGACATCTGAAAACCAGGAGGGGAATTCTATCCTGAGAACATGCTGCTAGGCTGCCTGGTGTTGTATCCAACAGTGCTTACACTGTTTCTAGCCTGGGTCTCCTTGTACGGATGTGATACCATATCCAAGTATTTCATATACTTTATTTGCAAAGATCCTGATTTGTTCCCATGTTTAATTTACAAAAGTTGTCGAAAGTGAACTCATTTTATAGACACAAGTTAGGATGGGACATTCTGTGTGCAGTGTCATGTGAATGTGGCCCCTGCCTTGGCGCTGTTCCTGTCTGGCTTGACCCTGCTGAGGAGACGAGCCCTGGAGCCAGATGCAGTCAGCAAGTGTTTCCTGGCTTCTTGTTAGGCACCCCATGATGTGTCCTCAGTGGCTGCCACTGCAGAAGGGCCTGCATCACTTTCGCTGATGCAAACCAGCCTGGAGTACGGTATGAGTAGAGGGTCCCCACTTGTGTACTGTCTTCCTCGGGTTTGCAGCCAGTCATCTAACTTGTACTTCCAGAGACATGAGTTTCTGAAAACAGGAAGGATGCTTCAGCTTCATTCTAGAACTGGGAACAGGTTTCAGATGTGACAGAGCTGAGTTAAAAGGGTTTTCCAGGACTGTGTCACTTTCCAATGTGAGCCCTTTGCATTCAAATCTGGAAGTCCGATTCAGTTTTGGCTCCTGGCTGGAGTGGAGAGGCTGCTCACCCTGTAGAGCTCTGCACACATGCTCCCTGCATGTTGATAGGAGGGGACTGTGCTCATAGGTACAGCTTGATGAGTTCATCGCTTACAGCAGATGGTGTCAGCACACCCAGGTCTGTAAACAGCAGGGTAATCAAGGATGGGGAAGTATAGTCAACCCATGGGTGTTCCTCTTTGAGATCCTGCCCAGTCTGCATGGACTTCAGAGTGTCTGCCTTGTACTGAAGAGAGAAGAACTTGGATTAGCTGGGTTGGCCTCCTATCCATGGCTGTAGCTTGACCACTAAGGTCTCTTCAAGATGGCTCTGTGTTCAGAAACTGGCTATGTGGCAGGCTGGGAGGGACAGTACGTCACAGGATACCATCCCACCCCACATAAGCGAATAAGAGACCACAATGGAGGGGCCTGGCCAAGATCTCTTTTGTAAAAGCAGAGATGGGAGTGAAGACAAGAGTTGATCCCAAGGCTGTGGTGCCACCACCAACCACACAGCTTCCCAGCACACAGTGTGCTGTATGCTACAGATTCTGCCCATAAATGTGACCAGGTCCAACCACGTGTCTTTGTACCCTGACACCGGAAGAGCACTAGAGGAAAAGGCTTGGGAAGTGAAGAACTTTCTAGAGAATTACAGAATCAATAACCCCGTCAAAAACATAAAACTCACCTTAAACTTATCTGGGACGTCTTGCTGATTAAGCGGGAAGAGCCGTACAAACTTGAAACTTTCTGCAACCACATAGAAGGGCTTGTTTTGGGCTTTGGCACACACGGCCATCTGGTTGGTTCCAATCTGAGAAGTCAGGGAAAATGGATGCAAGGTGAGGTTGCACAGCTCACTGAAGCAGAAGCACAGAGTGAGGGTAATTCTGTTATGACAATCAGAAGGATTTTTGTTTTGTGTCTGGTTTTTCTTTTTTAAAAGGTCCTCTTTGAGACTTAGTAATTTAGCTCAAATGGTAGAATGCCTGCCTAACATGCGGAAGCCCTGAGTTCAAGCTCTGGCCCTGCATAAATCAGGCCCTAGTGGGACACTCATAAACCCCGGAGGGATTACAGGGAGGTGAGGCAGGAGAATTAGAAATTCAAAAAGCATGCTCAACTAACTACATACTGAGTTCAAGGCCAGCATGAAATATCTTTAAAAAAATAAATAAATAAATAAAATAAAAAAAAAAAATGAAAAACAGTATTCAGGAGGCAGAGGCAGGTGGATCTGAGTTTGAGACCAGCCTGGTCTACAGAGCTACTTCCAGACATGGCTACACAGAGAAACCCTGTTTTGAACTACCCCTCCCATCCCCCCAAAAAGAAAAACATTTTTTTTTTCTAAGATAAATGGTCCCAAACCACATGCAAAGATGCCCGGTACCACCAGCTAGGGAAAAGTGGGTGCTGGCCAGTGTCCCAGCAGTACTCTGCACCACAGCCAATGGTGGGAAAGCCCAAGTGTCCACTGTAAGTGAACATGAGCACACAGTCAGTGCCCAAGATGGGATGGGTCTCAGCATGGAAGGGTGCAGCTCTGACACATGCTGTAGTCGGGCCGCACTGGGGCAGCATGGTCAGTGAAGAATGTCAGGATCAAAACCCTGAGCATTCCTTAGAAAAGGAGAAGTCAGGACAGGACAAAGGTGACCCAGGGATGTGGGAAAAGGCCATCTGGGACAAATAGAAAGGTTTCATAAACACACTAGTGATAGCATGGTGTGAATGTGCCGAAAGCCATTAAACCAAAAACAGGATGGTGCATGCATAGTGTAACATAAATTAAGATGTTTTGTCACAGACAGTTCCCTAGGTAAGGAAACCCTGAGGATGAATCTTCAATCAAATGGAAGCAAATCCAGAGACATTCAACTCCAAGCTGAGTCTATTTTGTCTGAGTGAGGTAGTGCATGCCAGTAATCTTAGCACTTGGGAGGCAGAGACAGGAGGATCAGGTCTGCCTCAGCTACGTAGTTTGAGGATAGCCTAAGGTATACAAGACCCTGTGTCAAAACTCAGTTCCAAACAAAGGCTGACCATGGTCCTGCTGTGCTACAGGGGTGTCCAGGGACAGTGTGACTGTACCTACCTTGTTAATAATTCCTCCATTCTCAACCACTCCTTCAGCACCAACTATGACAAGATCTGCTTTCTCCATGATATAGCTGAGGAAATGGACAAAAGGAAAAGCTGTCCTTACTTTTCTTGGCTTTAGTTAATATCTGATGATAGTAAATTCCTTCCACAGCTGCCATTTTCAGAACCTTGCCATGCGCATTAGAATGCCTGAGACAAGGTCTCAGTATGAAGCCTCGGTTGATCTGTAACTCAGATACCCACCTGCCTCTGCCTTCTAGTGCTGGGATGATAGGCCTGTTCACTTTTTAAGACAGAACTGCTGAAGATGCTTATGGGAATCACTCCCAACCTCCTTCTTAATAATGAGCTTTCTTCCCAAGGAACTACTGTAATTTAGTGATAGACACTCATGACCCAGCTGGGAGCCACTGAGCAGCCATGGCTGAGGACACAGAGTGCACTCACTGGTCACCTAACTGCTGATGATAGCCTGACCTTTGCCTTTTTCTCTGAAAACATGAGAAGCTGAGCACTACACTCATGCCAGTAACGCCAGCACTCGGAATGCTGAGGAAGGACTGAGTTCTAGGCCAGTCTGGGCTACAGGAGCCTGCCTTGGAAACAAGACCCCAGCCACTCATGTGCAAGAACCCAGATCCAATGCTGGGCACACAGCCTGTGTGATAACCCTGTGCTGCAGAGCGGCTGCCTACTTGTTAAGAGACAGATGATGCTACCCGGTCAGACTTCATGCACAGGATTCAAACTCCAATTTGAAAGCCCTGCTTGGAGCCAGCATGGATACGTGGGTGAGTCATACTTACCCAACAGCAGCATCCAGCACCACAGTGACAGGGACATTGAGGTGGCAGAGGGCTTTGGCCATTTTCTTCCTGAAGGTGACATGAGAACATCAGATAAAGTCCAAGGAAGCCCCACAGTGTTGCATGATGAATTTGATTTAGACAGAGATGTCCTGTGACCTTAGTGGCTTAAGGGGCAGGTCCTGACTGTGGACCAGGGAAACGAGAACCAAAGTTCTTCATTTTTTTATCATTATTTTTTTAAGACCTAGTTTTTATTTTATGTGTGTGGTAGTTGAATGCAATTGGCTCCCATAAGCTCATAGGGAATGGCACTATAGGATGCGTGGTGCATGGCTTTGTTCAAGTAGGTATGGCCTTGGTGGAGGAAGGTGTCACAGTCTACTTCCTATTGCCTTTGATCAGTACGTAGCCAGGGCCACGTCTGCGTGTCTGCTGCCATGCTCCTTAGCAAGATGATAATGGATTGAACCTCTGAAACTCTAAACGAGACACCACAATTAAATGTTTCCCATATCAGAGCTGCTGTGGTCATGGTGTCTCTTCACAGCAACAGAAACCCGAATTGAGACAATATGAATAGGTGTGTTTTGCTTGATGTATCAGACATTCCACATGCACATGCCTGGTATCTGAGGAGGCCAGAAGAAGAAATGGGATCCCCTAGAAATGGGTTGTGAACCACCATTTGAGTACCAGGAATTGAACCCAGATCCTCTGAACAAGCAGTAAATGCTCTTAACAGCTGAGCCATTATTGGTTTCTCCTTCCCCTCCCCTCCCTTCACTTCCCTTAAATTCCTGTTTTTTTGAGATAGGGTTTCTCTGTGTAGCCCTAGCTGTCCTTGAACTCAGAGATCTGCCTGCCTCTGCCTCTCAAGTGATGGGACTAAAGGTGTACATCATATTGCCTGGCTTATTTCTGGTTTCTTAAACTAGAGAGTTGGAGGTCCAGCTCTGGGGTACCTGATTAGCATGTGCAGGACCCAGATTCATTCCTCGGCACTAAAAAATAATGATAATAATAACAATAATAATAATAATAAATAGAAAAACTATATTCTTAAAGGAGCCTGGGTAATGAAGTCAACTGAGAACCAAGTTTGCTTTTTGTGTTTTCTGGAGATGTTTTGTCAATCACCAACTGAAAAAAACTTTCATGCAGTCTCCTGCTGTTACTCTGATTTAATTATCTAAAGAAAAACCATTAAGGGCTGGAGAGATGGCTCAGAGGTTAAGAGCACAGGATGCTCTTCCAGAGGTTCTGAGTTCAAATCCTGGCAACATATGTTGGCTCACAACCATCCATAATGAGATCTGGTGCCCTCTTCTGGCCTGCAGGCATACATGCAGGCAGAACACTGTATATGTAATAAATACATCTTAAAAAAAAGAAAAAAACCTTAAAAGAATTGAAAAAGAAACAAAGCTATAGCCTGCACTGTGCCCCTGCAAACCCACAGGTCCAAGGCAATGTTGACTCACTGGCCAGTGGCAAGGTACTTGCCCAGATAAATCAGGCTGAGACTCCGTGATGTACACACTGAACCGCTTCTTGGCTGCCACAGCTTCTTCCAGGACCCTTAGGACAACTCTGGAGTAGGCGTGAGTCAAAATTCTCTATGGAACAAGAAGCTTCCATTAGAGGGGCTAGCTGCCATCACATGACACAGGCTTGGCACTTGGAGCTCCTATATGCTACAAATCAACTGCAGTCGGAAGGGTGACTCTGACGGTCCACTGAAGTTCAAGCCCACTGAGAGTTCAACACTTCTGCCGAGGAACTGAGCACAGAATCTCCCCAGCAGAACCCAAAGGTATACAAGCCAGTACATCTGAAGGCCCAGGAGACAGTAAGATAGAGCTTGCACACTCAGGCTTACAAGTGCCAGGAAGAAGGGCAGGTCATACAGTGGCCTGATGAGGCTACTGACACTGGAAGGACAGGGAAACGGGGCCTTAGCCGCCTCTTCTATCACATCATCCCACTGTTGCGGACCCACCCGATTGTCCTACAGGAGGTACAATCTAATAAATATGCAACAACCACATAAAAGTTAAGCTGCTTTCCGAAACTGACGAGCACCATGGGGTGAGTGCAGCTGTCTGTGGTGCAGATGCTGACTGTGGACTCACACACTGCCTGTGCCTCTACGATGCAGAGGATCATACAAATCCAGGTGGGGGCTTGGCTCACCAGAATCGCAGGTGCTCAGGCCTCATCTTGAACCTGAGGAGTCTTCATTTAACAAGCCCGCAGGTTCAAGATTTAGCAGTTCTGCTTTTAACCCAGCTGTTAACCCAGGTTCAGAGCTACGGGTGGTGCAGGTGAGAACCCACACCACGACTACACACTGAGCCGAGGAGTATTATGGTCGCTCCTCCACTTGGCCCAGGCCTTTTTGACACTGCCATTAACACAACCTCAACCCCACCTCCCCGTAAGTCACATATTTAACAGCATACTTCAAAGGTGGGAAATGCAGTAAAGCCAAGGGCAATATCTAAGAGCCATAATGCAAGTAAATACAGGTATGCTTTGTGGAGGGGGAGATGGTGGGGAGGGTGTGCTTTTGGCTCAGAAAACATAAGGCTTTATTATTTGCTGGAGTGGACAAGCTGGGGCCTGGCTGAACCTGCAGTTCCTCAACTGACTTGAGACAGGTCACACACAGCTCCACCCAGTACTGACATAGGCTCCAATGCATGGCGGTGACCATGGTAACAGCTTGTCTGCGCAGACTCATTTCAGATTAGAACACTAACTACAAACCCTTCACCTTTTTTGTTGTTGTTTTTTCAAGACAGGGTTTCTCTGTGTAGCTTTGTAGACCAAGCTGGCTCAAACTCACAGAGATCCGCCTGCAGTAGGCGGCAGAGTCGGGATTTCAGACCCAGCAGCCTGACTCTAAAGCTCCCAATTCTAGCAGCACAGGGGAGCTGTCTACTCACCGCCCCGTCTTTGATGAAGGTATGGCACAGGTCTGCAATTTTGTTTCTTGACAAGGATATTCTCCTGAGGAAAAGCTCCCCTCTCTCAATCATGATCTTCTTACATTTGGAGTAATCCTGGGAAGAAAAGAGCAAAATGAAGCCGGGGTGGGGGGAGGGGGATCCCAGGAAAGCTGACAGTTTGTAGACAAAAAGAGAAATAGAAGGAATTTCTGAGGGGGGCGGGGCTTACAGAGTACTCCAGGGAGGTGAGGCTGATGAATCGAAGGAAGAGCTCTCCACCAGAGGACACGGCCACGGAGGAGTCCACACCACATAGGGTTTCTATGGCGCTGGTGAGATTCGCTCTCAGGCCCTGGAGTGTCTCCCCTGCAATGATGAAGTGAGGAATGTGATGTTCATTTGGGATCACGGCCCTTGCTGGTCTGCAGTTCGTCCACTCTTTCAAAGAATCCTGGATCCATCTCTGTGGCAGCCACCGGGAGATGCTGCACAAGAGGAGCAATTAACAAGCACAGAAATAGGCGAGTTACAAACGAACGAGGACAGGGGAAGGTAGGGTAACGAACTAGGTCGAGACACTTTAAAGGGCTGGCCTCTTGCACTACAGGCCATTTAAACTGAGACTTCAATAAGAAAGGACCCGGATACATGGAGACCAGTGAGGACAGCTTCTGTGTAGACGTCAGTGATACAAAGGCCCAAGGTAGGGACGCACTTGGTATGAAAAACAAAGAAGGCCAATGAGATGGCTCAGTGAGCAAAAGCACTTTGCTGCTGTTCAAGCTTGGTGACCTGACTAAGAAAGAACCAACCCCCGAAAGCTGCCCTCTACCCGCCAGGCTCACCGTGGCATGTGCACACCCACACTCAGGCACACACTTAATAAAAAACAGAAATTAAGAATCCAAGAAGCCAGCAGGGCTGAGCTGATGTATTTTACAGTAAGCAACAGCATGGCAGGTAACTTAGTGGTGGCAGATGAGATTTGTGAGACAGTGCAGGGTCCAAAGTATCTGAACGTATGTACACTGGGAAGACATCAGAGACGGAGTTAGACCACCCCATGAGAATGAAAAAGGCACCGTTACTACTTTGTACGTATAAGCGGTCATATTATACCCAGAGTCTTAAGAATTACAATGCTTGTTTAGAAGAGTCCAATGCATATTGATACCAGAATCTTTTGTTTTTGTAGACAGGGTTTCTCTGTGTAGTACTGGCTGTACTGGAACTCATTCTGTAGTCTAGGCTGGCCTTGAGCTCACAGAGGCCCACCTACCTCTGCCTTCTGAGTATTAGGTTCAAAGGCGTGCACCACTACTGCTCCACAATACCAGAATTTATTCTGGAACATTCTCTATAGCATGTGTACAGAATCTAGGCCAAGCTAGGAGCTTGGTACTCACCTATAAAACTAAATTGATTGCTATAATTTAAGCCTTTTAGCTAAGGCTGTATTGTTGACTCTTGATTCCCAGCATATTTTGTAGGTGGATGGGAATCCTTTATGTGGTAGCCCGAGGGCTCCCTCCAGGCTGAATGGATGGACATGGAGACAGAATCTGAGCTTGACACTGTAGGCAGCCATGCATGTCTTCCTGTCCCCATTCCTACAGGTCTTCTGAAGATGTTCCTAAAGCCCAGACCATTCAAGGCTACTCTTTATACCTTTATCTCTCTTCAAGAACTCCAGCAAAGTCCGGATGGCAGCCACTGCTGAGGCCATGTTAGGATCGCCTTTCATCTGAGACTTGAAGTATTCGATTAACTCTAGGAAGAGAGGGGAAAAAGTGGGTCAAATGGGTCATCACAGGAACTTGGCAAGATGAGGCCAGAGTGCTTGGTAACGACCGCTGACCTTAGGAATAAGAAGCAAAAGCTTTTTTTAAAAAGGAGCTTTTAAAGTTACAGGGCACGTTAAACATCGACAGGGATAGAGAAGATATGTAATGTTGGCAAGGACACACCTCTTTCATATTTTATACAAGTTATTGGTATGCAAGGCAGAGAACTTAGGGGCCTAGTCCAGGGGCTTGTAGTCTTTTCAGTCACTTTATTAATTTCTCCTGCAGCCTTTTGAGCAGTCCACAATCGTTAACTCAAGTGCATAAATACAAATGTAAAAATGCATACAGTTTTACCTAGGTCACTTTTTCATTAAAATCAGTGTATTCATTGTTTTTTTTTTTCACTTAACAAAAACATTCTGAGAATCATGATGGACAAGCAAACCAAAGATGCCTTATTTCTTCAAGTGTCTTCCTACTGGTAACCAGGGCTGCGGAGGCCTGCACACTGTTTTTGGAAGAGGCCCCTCGGACAGCGTGTGCTGAAGCGAGTTTGCGAGCGTCCGAGAGGCCCAGACCGCGACACAAGAGCAGTGACAGCAGAAAGCAGACCGAATCCGGACAGCCCGTGTGTCCCGCCTCTCCAGCCACCCACTCACCATGGTTCTCCATGGCTCCCTCGCGAACCCCGCAACCGCGCCGGCAGCAAGCCACAGGTTGACAGTCTGTCGCACGCTTCACGAGTCACTTCCGTCGCCTCGAAGTCGGGACTTACGTCACTCGCCAGCGCCGGAAGTTTGCACGCGCGTCGAACCGTGGGCGGCTCTTCACCGAGGCATAGGGGCGCCATGGCCGCAGACGGTGAGGGTGGCACTGGCCGGAACGCGGAGCAGGGCTGGGAGGGACACGTTTGGTCTTTAGACAAGCAGCCAGTGTATTCGTCCATTCACTCGGCAATTTCATTTTTGAGACAGGGTCTCTCGTAGAACTCGCTGACTCTTCATCCTCCAGTCTGCTCTAGAATGCTGGGAATTACAGGCGTGCCCGATCAAGCTCGATTTTATGTGGTGCTCAGATCTTTGTGCGTTCTCAGTAGGCATTCTACCAAATGAGGCACATCCCCAGCCCTAATTATTTTTTATGTAGGCACTCGATCGACCTGCCTTGGTCTTCCGAGTTCTGAGATCACAGGCACGCCCAATGTGTCATTTAGCGAACACTGATTGCTGCCTGTGTACTGGACATTACTTTCCAAACTGGAGAGTACAGCACAGGGAAGCTTTGAGTGTGTGGTGTCTTATGTCGAGAAAATCAGTTGGCAAGGGAAATTAATTCCAAGAACTGTGAAGACAAATGCGTGGCAACTAAGTTCGCAAGGACTGCCCTTCGTTAGGAGTCCAGGAAAGTTGGTGAAAGTAGAACTGTGGGTTGAGCGACATTATGAAGTTCACTTTAAGTACAAACATCCTGGGAGATTAAACTTCGAGCAAAATGGGCAGTGGGAGGGTAGAGGAAGGTGGGAGGCTCTTACTCATACACTAGGGGACTAATTACAGCTTTTTAAATTACATTTCCTCCCCAAGTTTCTTTTATTATTAGTGTGTGTGCGCGTGCGCCCACATGCTTGCGCGCACGCTCATGAAAGTCAGAGGACAACTTGTGAGAATAGTTCTCTCTTTGATTGTTTAGGTTTCAGGGATTGAACTCAGTCGGGCTTGTCAGCAATCACCTTTACCAGCTGAGCCCTCTCACCGGCCCAGAATTATTTAGATTGACAACATTAGAAGCATCACTTAGACTACTGTGAAAAATGGATTGTCACAAGCAAGAGTAATTAGAGAGTGCATTCAGCAGTCATAGCTGTTACATCTGTGTGAGAAAGGCAGGCCTGGCACGGCTTGCCAACCAGTAAGGCAGAGGCTGAAGGAAACTGGCAGCGATGTTTCATGTGCACATTTCTGACAGGCCACACATTGTTTTCTTTCTCAAGCTTCTTGGTACTAGCAAGGAAATGTGAATACCTTTGTGTTAAGTTAGTATTCATTTGTATTCACCATGTGCCAGGAGTAGAGGGTTAGCTAACACTTGTTATGCTGAGGGGCAAGTGAGAGCTAAATAAGGTATGCCCAGCTCAGCCCTGGTTGGCCTGGAACTTGCTACACCTGACTGGTTTCAAACTCACAGAGGTCCATCTATCTTCCAAGTGTTGGGATTAAAGACAATACACCATCATTCCCAGCCTTTAAAATTAAAATCTTTTTCTTAACTCTGTGTGTGTGTGTGTGTGTGTGTGTGTGTGTGTGTGTGTGTGTGTGTGTGTGTGTTAGTGGGCAACTTTGTTTGGTTAGGTCTGACCTAACCATGTGCATTCCAGGAGTTGAACTCAGGTCATCAGGCATGACTGTAGGTGCCTTTGCCTGTAAGCCGTATCTGACCCCTGTTTTCTTTTTTAAAATGAGATACCAGATAACAAACCAAGCACACTATCATTTAGCTGTGTCCTCAGCCCTTAACCTTTAAGGGATCTTGGCCCTTTTGGTGAGCTCATGATCCATAGGGGATGATAACCATTTGAAGGCCTCTTGTTGATTGATTGACCCTCAAGAATGCTATCTATATTTCAGTTTCATGAAACTGACATTTTAAAATGTTGCTCTTGTTCCTGTTTGCAGAAGATGAGTTGAATCTTCTGGTTATCATAGTTGACACCAACCCGATTTGGTGGGGAAAGCAAGCATTAAAGGGATCTCAGGTAAGATGGCTTGAGCCTTCCAAAGACTTTCATTAACTTCAGTATATCTGTATGCCACCCACTACCCTGTAAAGCAAGATTGAGTCTTTACAAGCTAAATGTGGAGGCAGGCAGGTCACCAGAAGTCAAGCTCATCTTTGGCCATCTGGGCTACTTGAGACACTGTCAGTAAAGGAAGGCTTTGAGTGTATATAAGCCGCCAATTGTACTGTACAGACCGTGGAGTTCTTAGAGCAGGGAAGTTGCATAACTGGCCCCACAGTTCCTTCTTGGAACCCACACGAAGTCCTCAAACCTGCTGACCATCATTCCCTGCTTCCATCCTACGTGTGCAGGCAGCCATTGATTGCCTCCTGTCTATTTTGCTTTTCTAAACAGTTCATATATCTATTGTATGAGTAGGCATCTTTTGTTATATATTTACTTGGTATGGGGGTTACGGTGTGCCGTAGCACTTATGTGGAGGTAGGTGAACAACTTTTGGTTGTCTGTTCTTTGCTTCAATCATGTGGGCTCTGGGGATTGAACTTGGGTCATCAGACTTTGTGGGAAGTGCCTTTAACCTTTGAGCAATCCCACCAGCCTTGTCTTTGGAGTTTTGAGGTAGGGTCATCTTCCCCCCCCCCCCATTTTTTTATTTGTATATATGTGTAGATGTTTGCATGCTTGTAGAGGTCTGGAATTAGTTCACTACTCCTATCAAGTGGGTCCCAGGCATCAAAGTTCTTACATTTTGCTGAGCCATCTCAGCAAGTTTTGAATTTTGATGAAACGATTTATGTATTAAAACAAATAAGATTGTGCTTTTCTTTTCTTCTTCTTCTTCTTCTTCTTCTTCTTCTTCTTTTTTTTTTTTTTCAGTACAGGAACTCAGGTATCCTTGGCTGGCCTTAGCATACTGTACAGCCTGAGGATTACCTTGAACTTCTGATCCAGCTGCCTCTGTCTCCTGACGTCAAGACTTGCAAGTTTATGTCTGTGGACCCACATGTAATGCCAGTATTTGAGAAATAATGTTCTAACCTAGAAGTAACTTGTGTCATTAAAGTCCGAAGGCCTCCTCTCAGGCCCTGTGCTCCTGGTTTTATGAGAGGCGAAGCTGAGCAAATTTTTAGTGTTGAGTCAGTGACTATCCACACATAGTGGCACATCCTGATGTGGGGAGGTAGAGACAGGAGAGTTGTTGGACATTTGTTGCTGCTCAGTGAGCATCAGGCTGCCCGGGGGGAGACCCTTTCCTAAACACTCCATAGGATATAAGTAAATAAAACTAAGTCAATGTCATCTTCATCAGGAGCTGACTTATTTTTCTGGTGTTTGTCAGTTTACTTTATCCAAGTGCATGGATGCTGTGATGGTGCTGGCAAATTCCCACCTGTTCATGCACCGTTCCAACCAGCTGGCTGTGATAGCCAGTCACATCCAGGAAAGGTAGGAGCCATTGCTCTGTTGTGGGAAGCCGCTTTCCAGTTCTTTGACAATTTCATCCACGTGTATAGTAAGTACATTCTGGTTACTCTACCCTGTCAGTCGATTCTTATATCCGGGGAAGAACGGAAGACTTGGAGACTTCTTCGGAGACCCTGGCAACTCCCTTCCTGACTGTAGTCCCTCTGGGAGTAAAGACGGCAAATATGAGCTGTTGACAGCTGCAAATGACGTGATCGCTGAGGAGATAAAAGATTTGATGACCAAGAGTAAGAGCCTGGCTATTGTGACTGTCATCTGCCTGTAGTGGTAGTTATTGCATGCTTTTAAAATGTAAGGTTTTTATTAATTGTTTTGAGGGTTTCACACATGCCTACAATGTATTTTGGTGATATTCGCCAACCCCATTCTTCTTCCTAACTCCTATCTCCTCCCAAACTTGTGTCCTTTTTTTTTTTTTTTTTTTTTTTTTTAATAATCTGACTAGGGTTACAACTGCCTTTAATCTCAACACTCAGGAGGCAGAGGCAGGCAGACTCTTGTGAGTTCCAGGCCAGCCTGGTCTAATATCCAATTCTAGGACAGCCAGGGCTATGTAGAGAGATTTGTCTTTAAAAACAAATAGGTATAAGCCACTTCCTGGAGCATGATTGACCTATTGGGGACCACACCCTTAGCTGTCCACACCAGGCCATCAGTTGTTAATGGCTCCTCAGCTAGGAGAGGCTCATGAGTCCCTCTGTCTTAGTTATGTTTCATTGCTGTGATAAGACACTCTGATTAGGGCAACTTACAAAGCATATAATTTGGGATGCATAGGCCTGCCTCCACCTCCAGCATGGTGGGATTAAAGGTGTGGGCTACCACACTTGGCTCCATTTTAACCACTTTTGAGTGTGCAGATGAGTGGTGCTCGGTGTGTACACACAGTTTCAAGACCATCCTACCTTCCATCTCATGAACCTTATCCTAAATGAAACTCCATGTCCTTTACTTTTTTTTTACCTTTTGGGTTGGTTTATTTTACTTTATGTGTATGGATGTTTTGCCAGCATGTGTGTCTATGCACCATGTGTGTGCCTGGTTTTTGTGGCAGCTAGAAGAGGATGTCAGATCCCCTGGAACTGTTATTATAGATGGTTGTGAGCCACTGTGTGGATGCTGGGCCTTGAACCCAGGTCCTCTGGAAGAGCATCCAGAGCTCTTAAGCACTGTGTCACCTCTCTAGTCCCTCTTCATCTTTTAAATACCAATTCCCATCTCTGCCTCTTCTTCCCCTAAATAATTTTACACCAGGGCACTTTGAAAAGAGGTGTGGAGTAGCATACTTGAGCTTACTGATTACTGGTCTCTGTGTTTTGAAATCCACTTTGGACATGTCATCTTTTGATTTATTTAGGAGTACATGAGTTTCTAAATGACTTCATTTGAAAAAAGACTCAGAATTTCCCCCCTTTTGTGCCTTTTAACATTTGCAGGTGACATAAAGGGCCAGCACACAGAGACACTGCTAGCAGGATCCCTCGCCAAAGCCCTCTGCTGTATCCTTGCGCTAGTGCATTCTAGAGCAGTCTTTCTTACCAAGGGCGTTTAACTGCTGGCTTCTCCTACACCTTCTTCCCCAGCACTCATGTGCACTAACTCCTTTGGCCTTCCAGGATGTTTCCATGACCATCTGAAGAGCCTGTCACTGCTTCCAGGTGAGGAATTTCTTTTGTTTATCTTATTTTAAGAATGAATAATTTGCCTGTGTATATCTCTCTGTACAATGTGGGTTTCTGGTACCCATGGGAGTCAAAAGAGGGCATTAAATCCCCTAAAACTGATGGTTGTGACCCACTAAGTAGATGCTAGGAACCGAGCCTGGGTCCTCTGCAAGAGTAGCTAGTGCTGTGACCTGTGAGCCATCTTTCCAGCTCCTTCTTACTGTGATAGCCTAGTGCTTGCTTGGGCTTATTCCTTGGTTGACATCTCCAGGACTGATTTTGAAAGCTGTTTACTGACCTCACAGCTTCATTAGTAAGTGGTACTCTGTAGGTGAGCAGGTGACCTGGGCCAAAGCATAGGGCAGCCAGACTCTTTGCAGCACCTGATTTCCTGTGTCATGGGCTCTCAGCCTTGCTTTTGTGAACAGTGTCAAGTCCTGTTTATACCCTGGAGTTTTTATCCAGTTGTGCAGATCCTCTTTGTATTACTTTCAGTTTCATCATCTCACTGGATGGTCTGACTAGTTTGGGTGTAGCCCCAATATTGGTATCTGGGATGGTGGGCAGTCGGCTGTCCGTACTGTGGCCTTCACATGCAGAGATCATGCTTTCCTTGGTGAGTACAGAATGGGTAATTGAACCCAAGCACAGCCACATGGCTGTCATGGCAGAAGATGGTAGGGGACTGGTTTCAAATCTGAAGGTCTGTTTTCCTGTTAGTACAGATGTTTGTGAAACAAATCTTTATATTCCTTAATGTCAATGAATCCAGACATTCACAGAGTGAACAAGGCAGTTAAAGGTAGGAACTGATTCTTTTGCAACTGTTATCCTTTAATTTTAGTGCTGCATGCTTGGTGGGTTATTTAAGAATTTCTGAGCATTCAGAGGCAGAGGCAGGCAGGTCTCTGTGAGTCCAAGGCCAGCCTGGACTACATAGCAAATTCCAGGCCAGTCAGTGCTGTTTAATGAGACCCCCATCTCAAAATAATATAAAATAAAAGTTGCTTTAAAAAACCACATGCTTTTTTAAGCTATCTTGTTTGTTAAAGTATAATATTTTTATCTTTTTATAGATAACCAGGAGATGAAATCAAGAATATTGGTAAGAATATATACAACTTACATGTCACTGCAGATAGCTGGAAAACATGGGAATGAATCCAGGCATGGTATCACATGCTTTGAATTCCAGCACTGGGGGAGGGAGTCACAAGCTGGTCCCTGTGAGTTGAAAGACAATGTGATCTACATATCAAGTTCCAGGTCATCCAGAGCTGCATAGTAAGACCCTGTGTCACAAAGGCATCTGGAAAAAACATTTTCAACATTGCTACTTTTATAGAAGAACTAGTATTTCTAAAATGTAGAGCTTTTGGGCCAGTGAGATGGCTCAGTCAGTAAAGGTGCTTGCTCCCAAGCCTGATGACTTGACTTTAGTCCCTAGGACCTTAGATGTAAGGAGACAGCTAACTCCCAATAGTTGTTCCCTGGCTTCCCAGTGCATGCTGGATACTCGGACAGATGCCCATCAGTCTAACAGGGACTAGGAAAGACTTGGTGTCACCTTACATTTCAGGGGTTTAGCACTAAGTTGGAAGATGGACAAGAAGTGCTACTGTCTATGGCTTGCAGTAGGTCATGCCACACTGAGTCCTGGGAAGTACTTGAGGTCTGATGGCTGTGTTTGCAGGTGATCAAGGCTGCAGAGGACAGTGCACTGCAATATATGAACTTCATGAATGTCATCTTTGCTGCTCAGAAGCAGGTGAGGCATACGCCTTCCAAATTCCTAGAAGAAATAATTAGAGGCCAACTGGTGGTGCACAATATTTTGAGTTTGAGTCCAGCCTGGTCTACATAGAGGGTTCCAGCACAGCCTCAGGGCTAAGTAGAAAGATCCCGTCTTAAAAATAAAAATGGGATCACTGTCATTCTTGCACAATGGTGTTCTGGCTAAAGAGCCTCCTTAGTGGATTAAGGATTCAGAATCCACACTGGGTACCTGTTATTTTTCTGTTTAGGGTCCTGGGTCTTTGCAACTGGGCAGTGTTTCTCAGAGCTATGCACTCAAGCTTGATTTTGCATTGGATGTCATGGTGCTTACTCATCCTGTTAGCCCACATATGACTAAGAATCCCTGGATTGAAAGTTTGATACAGCAACCTTTCAGCTTCTCTTTCTTTCTTTCCTTCATCTTCTTCCTTCATTCCTTTCTTCCTTCCTCTTTTTCTTTTCTCAATCATTTAACCTAAGGCTTTCACATGTGTGGCAAGCTCTACATGACACGAGTGTCCCCAGTCTCTTCACATTTTGTGTTGACACAGGCTGGAACTTGAGAAGCACCAGCGTCAGTCTGCTAGGTAGCTATTATAACAGGTGTGCACCATTCTGTCCCACAGTCTCTCTTTTTATTGTAGTGTGCTTTGTACTTTGTAAATAACTGAGGCGTTCAGGTAACCTGATGCATCATCTTCATTCTCGGTTTTTCTTTTTAATGTGTTTAAGTGCTTTACCTGTTGTATAGATGTGCATGTTATATAGATGTGCATTCCTGGTGCCTGTAGAAGCCAGGAAAGGGTGTCAGTTCCTGTGGAACTAGAGTTACAGACAGTTGTGAGATTTGATCTGAGTGCTGGGAATTGAATCAGGGTCCTCTGGAAGAGCATCCAGTGCTCTCAACCTCTGCACCATCTCTCCACCCCCCACCCCCTAAGCCTCAGTTTGAACATACAGCACCACTGGAGCCCTGTATTGCTTTAGCAAGGAGAATGTTGCAGTGAAAGGGGTCAGGTTTTGGAGACAGGAATTAGGACTTGACTGGATACTTCAGATGCCCAATATACTTCAGTGTCCTCCTTACAGCATCACTATACATGTTAAAGGGCCCGTTTTAGGAATAGAGTCTGGCTCTACAAAATGGGGCACATCTGTACCGACCTGAGGGAGACAGAGGCAGAAGCATTAGCACAAGTTCAATGCCAGTCAAGACTACAGAGTTGAGACCCTGTGCCAAAAAATGATACAGGAGAGTAGAGCCCAGCAGGTCTGAACCAGGTATAACCTTTGCTATATTTTGAAATGCTCTTTTCAGAACATTCTCATCGACGCCTGTGTCCTAGACTCTGATTCAGGACTCCTCCAGCAGGTATGTTATCAAGGAGTGTGTGGCAGTAGCCAGGCTTTCATACAGGAACAGTGTGAATCAAGCACTTGTAGGGATGGTCATACCTCAGCCAGGCATGGTGACACACTCCAGCAATCCCAGAAGTCAGGAAGCTGAGGCAGGAGGATCATGAGATCTGAGGATAGCCTCCTGGGCTATCGACTAAGACTGCAGAGACTGAAAGAGTATTTTGGTTATATTGTGTTTAATGTGTGATTAAAATGGATTTTCACCTGTTTCTGGTTATTTGTCTTGAGACAGGATCTCTGTGTAGCTGTAGCTGGACCTGAAACTCACAGAGGTCTGCCTGCTTCCGCCTGCCTATGTGGAGATTAAAAAGTGTGTGACACCATGCCTCCCTCCCCCTCTTTAAATTTTCTAGGAATCAATTTAATTTTCAAGAAAAATGTCTTGGGAATTACTGTTAGATGTTGTATTTTCTCATCAGTACCACTAGCCTGGAGATTTACAAGGCTTGTTCCTAACTAGCGCTTTTAACTTAAATTAACCCGTTTGTAGTAATCTATGTTCTGCCATGTGGTATTCCCTCATCTTCGTACTGCCCAGCCTGCTTCCTCCAAGTCTGGCTGGGAACTAACTCCGCCTTTCTTCTTCCCAGAGTCCTCTCTTTTTACCCAGAAGTCCTGCCTATACTCTCCTGCCTAGCTATCGGCCGTTCAGCTTTTCGTTACACCACTCACAGCAATACATCTTCACACAGTGTACAAATACCCCACAAGATGTTGCTTTGGGGTGGGTGTGGGGTGGTAAGCGCTTACTCTAGCCCAGGCTGGTTTCACATTCATGGCAGTTTTCCTGCTTTAGATGTTGCTTTTGGAGAGAAGTTTGGAACTGAATCTTTTAATTTTACCAGAACATCGAGGACGGTAAAAGTACCCACATCCGAAATAATTGGCAAGTGGTGGATGACTACCTTTTGCTCACAAGAAATACTCGTGGGCCAATGAGATTACTCAGTGTACCCAAAGCTGATGCCTGGAGTTACATTCCTGGGACCCATTCGCTGGAGGGAGAGTGCCAACTGCCTCACATTTTCCTCCGGTCTCCGTTAGTGTGCCGTGGCATGCACGTGCACGCACACACAAATAGCACATGTAAAGAAAGTTGTTAACATCCCTTCCCCAGTCAACATTTCCTTAGAAAATTATATCCTTAAAGGTCACTCAGATAAAAGGGTTGGGGTTAGAGAGAACAGCCTTGAGTCTAAGCTGGTGCTTGGGCTGAGGGAAGGGGAAATGCACAGGTCCAAGAGTGCCGGGGTTGACAGTTGCTTAGGCTCAGCTTGACAGTTAGCATGTGCTCAGTTTTATTTTTGAGACAGGGTTTCTCAGTGTAGTCCTGGCTCTCCTGGAACTCACTCTGTAGACCAGGCTGGCCTCAAACTCACAGAGATCCTCCTGCCTCTGCCCCAAAGGCATGTGCCACTACCACCTGTCCTGTTTTTTTTTTTTTTTTTTTTTTTTTGTGTGTGTGTGTGTGTGTGTGAGATGCATGTTAAGGAACTGTTTAGATATACCTAAGAAGTAATTACATTTTTATGTATTTAAAATCTAGGACCCTCACCCTGTGAGGATGAGACACAATATAGGAGTTAGTCTTGTCTGTGAATGCCATGTGACATTGAGTGCTTGTGTCATGTGTCATGTTCCGAGGAAAGTAACTGCTGCCTTATCTTAGCTCCTCAGCCACCCAGTGCTTCTGAGTGCCCAGTGTTGCCGCTCCCGTGGCGCTTCACTGTTAGGCTTTCAAGGTGACTTGATTGCTAGCTGCCTATTTCAGAGTGTCGTTAACTTGGAGATCTCGACTCTGGTGGAAAGCTGCCTCTGGTACCGTTTCTCGTCGAGATAGCTCGAGTCCGCAGGCTTACTCTGCAATACACACCTCTTGGACATCTCAAGTCACTGTGTCAAAGCAGACCTCTGGCTTTTCTGAGCAGTGGCTTCTCCCAAACTTGAGCCCCATCTCAGCCTGGCTTTTCCCTTTTCTCTTCTCCTCCTCCTCTATCACTATGATCTGTTGAATCTGCCCTCAGGACAGACCCTGAATCTCAGACATCTGGTCTCTCTCAGCACACTTCCTCTACCAGTCAATCCGTCATCTTGGGAGTCAGAAAGAGGCTGATGGCTTAAGAACGGCTCTGTTACTCCCTTGCTTAACTGCCTCATGCCCCTCACCCCGACTCCCCATCCCTAGCATCCCAGCACACTTTGTCTAATACCCAAGTTCTTGCTGTGGCCTTCTGTTCTCCCCACGTCCTCTGTTTTCCTTCTGGGCCCCCACTGGCCCCTTGGTGTTGCCCCAAACCACTGTTAACATGCTTTGCTGTGGTCGGGCGCCTTGGCCCTTGCCTTGCTCCAGCTTTCTTTCCCCATCGCCCCACTTGACTGTCATGGAAATCATGAAGCGCAGCATCGGTTGTGTGTCCACCAGCCTCCTTAAAACTAGCGAGGAAAGCCAGGCGTTGGTGGCCCATGCCTTTAAACCTACCACTCAGGAGGCAGCCTGGTCTACAGAGTGAGTTCCAGGACAGGCTCCAAAACAATACAGAGAAACCCTGTCTCGAAAAACAAAAAAACAAAAAAAAAAAAAAAAAAAAAAAAAAAAAAAAAAATTAAACTAGCAAGGAAACTTTATGTAAAACAAAGCATGGTGCAGAGGGCAGAGAGGGATGCTTGCCAGGGGCTGGCTGTCCTGTCAGTTGGCAGCACTAGGAGCTCACCTCGTGAAACACAATTTGTCTCGTAGCCTGGGAATCTGAAGCAGAGGCGTGTGCTAGTGTCTGTAGCATGGACAGTAATGAGTACTCAAACCTCATACCAGATGACCTTGTAGACGTGTGGAGTGCCCATGAGCCCCACTCCCCTGGGAGTGAATGCTGCGGGTCTGCTTTGGTGGTGACCCCTCTCTCTTGCAGGCTTGTGACATCACAGGGGGATTGTACCTAAAGGTGCCTCAGATGCCTTGTCTCCTGCAGTACTTACTGGTGAGTTAATGGCAGTGGCCCCGCCCTAGCATCCCAGGGAAGAAATTGCTGGCACAGAGTGGCTTCAGAGTCCCCAGGTTGAGAAGGGTGGACTCCCAGATCTCCCAGCCCTGAAAGTTGTTTGCACAGGTCACGTGATTATGTAACACACTGCTCAAATGTGGAGTGGCCCAGTGAGTGAGGGAGCTTGCTGCCAAGGCTGATGACTTGAGTTCTTCTCCAGGACCCACAAGGGGATTGGAGAGAACCAGCTCCTACCAGTTGTCTTCTGACTGCCACTTGCATGTGTATGTGTGCGCGTGTGCGCGGACACACACACACACACTGTGGGGTGAATAAGAATGAAACAGGCATTGAAGGAAATTCCTTTTTTAAATTTTGTATGTGTGTGTGGGTGCATGCTTCCCACTGAGTGCATGTGGAAGGCAGAGGACAACTGGCTGGAGTCAGTTCTCTCTCTCCACCACTTGGACCCCAGGAATGGAACTCAGTCCATCCATCAGGCTTGGTGCCAAGTACCTTAGCCCACTGAGTAATCTCACAGACCCCAAAGGACAGTCCTTAGTATTTTCCTCAGTGCTGATTGGCTAGGGCTGCTCTCTCTCTCTCTCTCTCTCTCTCTGTGTGTGTGTGTGTGTGTGTGTGTGTGTGTGTGTGTGCGCGCGCGCGCGCGCTGACTGGCTTTTAAGGCTGCTGTCTGTGTGTGCTGACTGGCTAAGGCTGCTGTCTGTGTATGCTGATTGGCTATGGCTGCTGTCTGTGTATGCTGATTGGCTATGGCTGCTGTCTGTGTCTGGACTGTTGCAGTTTTTCATCCTATGATTTAATTAAAAGTTTCTTGCCTATTCTTTCAATTTTATTTTTTTTTTAAACAGTGGGTTTTTCTTCCGGATCAAGATCAGCGATCTCAGCTAATCCTCCCGCCTCCAATCCATGTGGACTACAGGGCTGCCTGCTTCTGTCATCGAAGTCTCATTGAGATTGGCTATGTCTGCTCCGTGTGCCTGTCCAGTAAGCTGATGTGTACTTTTTCTTACTGTCTGTGTTGGGGAGGGGGCCAGCACAGAAAGTAATCTGGTTTTCAAATCCTTATCTCTTTGTTCTTTTGCATTTTTAACAGTTTTCTGCAATTTCAGCCCCATCTGCACCACTTGCGAGTGAGTATCTTCACAGGTGCTGAGTGGGAGTGGGTTCCCGAGAGCTTCTGAGCCCTGAAATGTTTCTTCTCTCTCTCATTCCAGGACAGCCTTTAAGATCTCCCTCCCTCCAGTACTGAAGGCCAAGAAAAAGAAACAGAAGGTGTCCCTTTGATGAACGACACATGTGTCCCCATCTCTAGCCACTGGCCAACTCCCCGGGGTGGAGCTGAAGTGCACCCCAAGCCTCTGATGTTATCTGGAAAGGGGGACAAGCACAATGTTAGGGCTTTCTGTTTGTTGTTTTCAGGTAGCAGTTGCTTGGCAGAAGCCAGCTGGTGTTGCCCTGTTTGTTGTTGGCTCCGTTCCTTAAAGCTGGGTGTCGAACCCCGGCCTTGCATGTCCTCAGCCAGCACCCACCGCTGAGATTTTGTATTTAAATGGTCCTGCAGCCCCCCTGGGATTTTGTATTTAAATGGTCCTCTGTCAAAGCTTATCATGGTAGATTCTGGGTCATCTGTACTTCAAGATGGGCAGTGTGTGAAGCTGGAATGACCCAGCATTGGGTCATTATCAGTTATGATAAAACATTTTAGTTGGACAGGTGGTACATGTCTGGAAGACTGGGTCAGAAAGTATTTGGGTTCAGATCTTGCCTGGGAGATATACACACATGTGAACACACACACATCCTGTCTTTTAAGAAAATTAATATTTTACATCAAATAAATTGTTTCCTTTAACTATATTCAAATGTAACCTGACGTAAAGGCACAAGCCTTCAGTCCCAGCACTCAGGGAGCAGAGTTTGAAGCCAGCCTGGTCTGCGTAGTAAGTTCAAACCAGCCAGGGTCATATCTTGCCACCTTGTTTACAAGAACAAAAGTAACAAAACCAAGAGTCAAATGTACATGAATCGAGGCTTCCCTTCTGGTGTTAGCTGTTCTGTATTCATTCCTCTGATACACCAGCATATTTGCACAGAGTTAACCAAAATTATTTTGATGGTTTCATCAAAAACGTATAAAATCTGAGTTTAAATCTACAAGGAGAGTGAACATTGGGCTATAGTAAAGTTTGTCAGGTACACGAGGGAAGAATTGTTTGCTGGGGTTAGAGAGCCACTTATGGTAGAAAAGATGCTATCCTATCTGTATAATTCTGTCATTTTTAAAATAGAATGACATTACTATTGGAGAACTGTTGAATACTAGAAATTAAATTAGTTCAATAGAAACACTTGTAATTTCAACAATAAAAATTCTATTTTTATATTTACTAGTTTTCCCTGAAGTATTTTTCTAGATACTTGCATTGAGTGGTTCTTTTTGAGATGGGGTTGTTTTTGTGTGTGTGTGTGTGTAACAGCCCTGGCTGTCCCAGAAGTTACTTTGTAGACGAGGCTGGCCTCAAACTCACAGAGATCTGCCTGCCTCTATCTCCTGAGAGCAAGGATTAGAAGTGTGCCACCATCACCTGGCTTGCATTGAGCAGTTCTTTTTTTGTTTTGCTTTTTAATTATTAAAAGCTTTCTTAAGAGCACTGACCTTCCAGAGGGCCCAGGTTCAATTCCCATCACTCATATAGCAGCTCACAACAGTCTGTAATTCCATTTCCAAGGGATCAGATGCCTCTTCTGTCATCCACAGGCACCAGGTACGAACGTGGTGCACAGATATGCATGCATGCATGTATAAACAACCATACACATAAAATAAAAATCATACACACACACACAAAATATCAGCAGGCAGGCAAGATGGCTCAGCAGGTATTGTGACCTGACTGATCCCCAGGGCCTCATGGTGGAAAAGACAGAACTGGCTCCTGAGTTATCTCCATTCAGTTCCTATGTGGCACTATGCCTGCCTTTCTCTATATGAGAAACTGAGGCATAGACTTGTCTACAGCTGGTGCCTGGAGGGCCTGCATGAAGGTAGCTGTGGCAAACACAAGTCTTCCAGCTACTGCTGTGGGGTCACTGCTGATCACAGACCTCGGCCTGAGGTGACAGTGGGCAGCCCAAGACAGTTTGCTATGGCTAATGGAGGGTGGAAGTGGCAACCAGATCCATGGGCCTCTTAGTTGGCTTTGGAAGGGAGGACCAAGCTGATTAAAGGCAAGTGTCACTATGGCCCGGCTTGAATTAGCCTTTACCATTGGAAGATTTTTCATGACACTGCCTGGGGGCAATGAATCATCTTTGGCTGGGATTGAAGGAAACCCAGAATGTGGCCTGGGCCACACCAATAAATACACAGATTTTGAATATGGTAACTAGGCAAGAGACACTTTGGGATAATATTCTAAGGTTCTCTGGCTTCACTTGCAGAGCATTTGGTGTTACCATAGAGAAAACACGATGACCTCGACTTAGGCGTTTCCAGAACCATGACTGGGATGCTGTGTAGTGTACATTATCTTCCAGAAATGGCATACGGTGGCCTGGCAGAAATAACATAAGCCTGGCAAACTTCAGCTCTTCAGAGTACTTTAAAGTTACTGACATGGACACCCCTCCGCTCCCTTACCCATGTACAATTCTGATAGAAGTAGGTTTTAACTTCATGTGTATGATTGTATTTGCACCACATACATACATGTAGTGACTAAGGAGACCAGAACAGGGCATCAGATCCCTTGGAACTATAGTTACAGAAAGTTGTGAGCCACCACGTGGGTTCTGGGAACCGAACTCTGACCCTCTGCAAAAGCAGCCAGTGCTCTGAACGTCTGAGCCATCTCTCCAGTCCCGCAGTGTGGTTTCTTGATATCTGAGATTGAAAGAACCCGCGATGTCCACTGGGAGTACAAAGCTGCAAAACCGAGCAAGGCCTGTTGGGCAGGACCAGGATCTGAAAGCAGGAGCTGTCGCTCTGAAGCAATCATGGAGCTTTTTGGTGGTTGCCCTGGCTACCGGTACTTTTCGCTAGACTTGTAGAAGCAGGCTCTCTTGACCTGGACCAATCACGACATGCCCATCACCGATTGGTGGTTGCCATGGCTGCGGGCGTTCAGCTTGGCAATATGGCGTCGGCCGGGCAGCGAAGGCTCCGGCTTTTTCTCCTCGGGACTATTGCGGACTTGTGAGGCTGACCTGGCTCCGAGATGGGGTCTCTGTTGCCGCTCGGCCTCCTGTGGGGGCTCCTCCTGCTGCAGGACGTCTTGAGGCCGCTGCGTGGGGACCCGGGTGTGTATGGCGGGGTACGGCCTGCATGGCCCAGGCTGAGGGAACGTGGGGCTCCTAGGAATCCCGGAGCTAGGGTCATCTAAAAGCCAGCACTCGCATCCCAGGCACAGGTTCTGCACTGGCTAACCCCAGCCCGCACTCTTCCTTCTCTCATAGTTTTCATTCCACCTTTCATCCGAATGTCCAGCCCTGAGGTCAGCGCGTCCCTGGTCGGAGGCAGTGAGGATGTCACCGTGTCTCTGACTACGCTGCAGGTGGAGAAAGGTGAGAGAGTCTGGCTTTCCTTAGGAGCGTGGGTGCTGCCCTTAGAGCTGCTGCCTTCAGCAGAGCAGGGGTGGGAAAGAATGGCAGTGTCTCTGTGTGCATTAGAGCCCTGTGGACAGGTTCTGGAAACGGGAACAGGACATAAAAGTGGCCAACAGGCCAGGCATGCCCCGGCACTGAGGAGACCGAGGCAGGTGGATCTGTGAGTTCCAGACTAACCTGGTCTGCATAGTGAGGCTTGGTTTTTGGTTTTTGTTTTTTTTCTTTTCTAAGAAAAAAGTGGCCAGTATTCATTGAGCAAGACCCCCACCCAGAGATTCTCCACATCTCTGGGTTCTCATAAGAACAGTAGGATCTCTTTATCCTATTGACAAATGAGTAGACATACTACTTGACCAGTCTCATGCAATGTCTGTGGGGATTCCCATCCTAAGACTCTCGACTTCTTAGCTGCTGGAGCCTGATACCTCACGTTCTAATTTCTCCCTTAGGAGTGTTGCCAGTTCCTACTTGTGGTGGTCTTAGCAATGAGACAGGAGATTGGAATGTGACTGTGATTCCCAGTATGGTAAGACCTGAGGCAAAAGCTCTTTTGAACCTGTAGAGGTCTCCTGTTTAGGCTTTGTTCAGGGCTCTGCAAGTGCATGTGTGAGTGTGGGTGTATGAAAGAGAGAGAGAGAGAGAGAGAGAGAGAGAGAGAGTGTGTGTGTGTGTGTGTGTGTGTGTGTGTTTTACCACACTGTCTAATTTTTATTTTATATGCATTGGGGCTTGGCCATGGGTGTCAGGTCCTTTGGAACTGGAGTTACAGGCAGTTGTGGGCTGCCATGTGGGTGCTGGGGATTGAATCCAGGTCCTTTGAAAGAGCAGTCAGCGATCTTAACTACTGAGCCATCTCTCCAGCCCCCTCCCCAATGTTCTTGTGATTTGACATTCCATGTTCCAAGTACTAAGGAATTTTCTATGGACTTCCAACTTGTTCCCAAATAAAGACACCCCCTGGAGACTTATTAATAACTATGAATGCTTGACCTTAGCTTAGGCTTGTCCCACTAGCTATTATAACTTAATTTAACCTGTTTCTCCTCATCTACGTTTTGTCTCAGGTCTTTTTTACCTTTCTTTCATTCTGTATGTCCTATTTTCCGGCATCCTCCATGTCTGACTGGTGTCTCCCTAGAGTCTCTTTCTCTTTCTTCCCCAAGCCTACATTCCTTCTCCTACTTATTCTTTCTGCCCTGAAATCCTGCCTATACCTCCTCCCTTGCCATTGGTCATTCAGCTTTTTATTAATCAGGTGGCTTAGACAGGCAAGGTAAAACAGCAACACATCTTTACATAGTTAAACACATGTTCTGCAACAGTTCCATATTCAGTATTATCTGGAATTATATGGAATGTGGGCTATCAATGTGGACCCCCATCCAGCACGGGGTTTTTACCCTAGTGTTAATGGTGTGTTTAGATGGGTTACAGGTGAAGCATTCAGACATATGAACCAGCCTGGTTTACATAGTGAAATCTTATCTAAAAGAGAAAAACAAAATGGACCAAACAAAGATAAAAAACATGAAACATTTCATTTTTATTTAGTTTTTTGTTTTTCGAGACAGTTCCTCTGTGTAGCTTTGGAGGCTGTCCTGGAACTCACTCTGTAGACCAGGCTGGCCTTGAACTCACAGAGATTCATCTGACTCTGCCTCCTGAGTGCTGGGATTAAAGGCATACACCATCACAGCTACCACATATAAGTGTGTGTGTGTGTGTATGTGTGTGTGTGTGTGTGTGTGTGTGTATGTGTGTGTATAAGATTAGGAAATGGGATGGACATGGTGGGGCACATCTTTAGTCCCAGCATTCTGGAAACAGAAGCAGGTAGATAGATCTCGGTGAGTTTGAGGTCAGCCTGGTTTACATAGCTAGTTAATGCCAGGCAGAGATATACAGTGAGATCTTGTCTCAAAAAGAGAAAATTTGGAAATGGAGCTATGTAGATGGCTTGATGCTTAAGATTTCTTTCCATAGAAAGAGCCAGAGGCTAGTTCCCAATACCCACAAACACCTTTAACTCTAGCTCCGGGACATCCAGAATTTTAAAAACATTATTTATTTATTTTTATTTTATGTGCATTAGTGTTTTGCTTACATATATGTCTTTGTGAAGGTGCCAAATCCCCTGGAACTGGAGTTACAGGCAGTTGTGAGCTGCCATGTGGGTGCTGGAAATTGTACCTGGGTCCTCTGGAAGAGCAACTAGAGCTTTTACCCTTTCAGCCTTCACTCCATCCCCAAGCATCCAGGATTCTTTTTGGACCTCTGCTGGTACACACACACATACACACACATACACACACACACACACAAAGAAAAGTTTTTTAAATTCAGGATTTACACTAGGAATACAGTTCAGTTGGTAGAGTGCTTGTCTGGCATGTGTGAAGCCAAAAGTTCAGTCCCAGCAACATGCATGTGCAGGTATGTAGACACACACTTAATTGGCACACACACTCAGAGACACTAAATAACAGCAGTGATCATAAGAAAGGTCCAGAGCTTGGGTACCTCGGGAGGGTTGGAGGTGAAGTGGGTGCTGACACTCCCTTTATCATCAGTTCTCCTGTGAAATGAGCCGCCTTGTATACAGCTCTTTGGTCACGCGTGTTTACAGTGCTTTCTGTTGCCTGTTCTGTTTCTTTTACCTGCATCACTAGAGATACACGGCCATGTTTTCCTTTCAGAACGTGCTAGAAGTGAGAATCCGGTGGAAGAGGGGTCTGGACTGGTGCTCCTCGAATGGGGCTGCGTCCTCCTCAGCGCTCCCGTGCATCGTCCAGACTCTGCTGGTCTCAGCATCCCACAATTCATCCTGCTTATCACATCTGCTCATTCAGGTGGAGATTTATTCCAACACGTCTGTGACCCACAATGCATCAGGCAAGTGACGCCTATGGTCAAAACATTTCTGTCAGTCACTATCTGAAGATTGTGTTGTGTGGGCAGTTACTAGAGGTGGTTGTTCTTTTGTTGCTGTTGTTTGTTTGTTTTGAGACAGGCTCTCACTGTGTAACTCTAGTTGGCCTAGAACTCACTATGTAGACCAGTTTGTCCTTGAACTCACAGAAATCTGCCTGCCTCCACTTCTTGAGCTGATTTTTTAAAATTTGTATGTGTGTGTGAGTGTATGTGCACTATGTGTGTGCAGGATCCAGAAGAGGGTGTCAGATCCCAAATACCTGGAGTCCCATGTAGCTGTCAGTGATTTTGTGGGTAATTTGAATTGAACCCAGATCCTCTGCAAGAGCAGCCAATTCTCTTAACCACTGGGCCATCTGTCCAATCACCCAGACTCAACTTTTGAGTCTTTCCTGCCTTCCTAAATGTACTATTTTTGTGGTTTTTACTTTGTATCATTTTATTTAATTAAGATCTAATGAAGCAACAGGTGGCCCACACCTTTAATCCCAGCACTAGGGAGGCAGAGGCAGGTGGATCTCTGTGATTTCAAAGCCATCCTGGTCTACAGAGCAAGTTCCATGACAGCCAGAGCTACATCGTGAGACCCTGCCTCACACACACACCTGCCCCCCTCCCAAATTTCTGGCTTTCCCCACACATCTTTTGCAAACCACTTTAAGTCCTTTTGGGGGGAAGGTAAAACTGTGTTTCCATGCATTGATCCCCTTAGCTCTGCTTGAGAAAATATAATTGAGCAAACACTAATGGAGGCGGGGATCTTTCTCAGTGCTGACTCAGAAGGGCACAGCAGTCCTCTCTGTGTGAGTGCTGGTCCTTCTCTGCGCCTCACTCAAATGACATGGTTCTCTCTCCCTCTTAAGATGCCACCTATGAATTTATAGTAAACTTCTTTCTAAACCCCCCCCCCAAATAGGACTGTGGGTGCAGCTCATGTGGTAGAGTGCCTGCCTGGCACCCACAGAGCTGTGGGTTCAATTCTCAGCAATGCAGAAAATTGAGCCATGTCTTGCTTGTCTGTAATTCCAGCACTGGGAGGTGGAGGCAGGAGGATCAGGAAATCTAAGGTCGTTCTTGGCTCCATAGTATGCCTGAGGACAGCGTGAGCCACATAATTCCGTGTTTCCAAACTGAGAGCTGTGGGGGCCAGCTTGCTATAATGAGTGCTACCCGCATGGTTCTCTTGCCTGCAGCAGACTTCGGCATCTCTTGCCTGTGTAGCTATGGCTGGCCTTGATCATACTAGGTAGCCAAGGTTAGCCTCCAATTCAGAATCATGCTGCCTCAGGGACCGAATGCTAGGATCATGGGTGTGTGCCACCATGCCCTAATTTCACTTGGTCTTTTGAGACAGAGACTCACGTAGCCCAGGGTGACCTGGAGCTAACCTGAGCTCCTGACCCACCTGTCTTTTCCTCCGAGTACTGGGATGACAGGCCTGAGCCACCACGCCCAGCTCAAACATTTTTTAAAGGAAGAGAAAGGAATCTTTCAGAAGAAAAGCAATGGGTTTTTTTTTTCTTTCTCTGCTTAAAATGCAAAAGAAACCAAGAAAATACTCAGTGCATCTTCCAGAAAGCTCCTGGAGAAAAAGCGGTGAAGGGGAAAATACTTGTAGGAGGCCCTCATAGTAGCCATGATGTAGAGACTTGCTTTGAAAGTGTTTTCCTCTGTGGGTTGCAGACATGCTCAGTGATGGAGTGCATACTGCTCTTCCAGAGGACACAGATGCAGTTCTTAGCTTTTACATCAGGTGGCTGACAGATGTGAACTCCAGCTTCAGAGGCTCCAGTGGTCTCACCCGGCACCCACACTTACACACACACACACGCACGCACGCGCGCGCACACACACACACACACACACACACTTCTCAAAATAAATGGTTTGTTTGTTTGAGACAGGGTCTCTCTGTATAACACTCCTAGCTGTCCTGGAACTCATTCTGTAGACCAGGCTAACCTGGAGTTCACAGAGCTCTGCCTGCCTCTGCCTCCTGAGTGCTCACATAAAAGGTGTCTGCTACAACTGCCCAGCTTGGTGTTTGCTTGTTTGGTTTGGTTTTGAGACAGGTTTTTTTGTTTTTTGTTTTTTGTTTTTTGTTTTTGTTTTTGTTTTTGTTTTTTTTTTTTTTTTTTTTTTTTTTTTTGTGTGTGTGTGTGTGTGTGTGTGTAGCCCTGGCTGTCCTGAAACTCTCTCTGTAAACCAGGCTGGCCCTGAATTCACAGAAATCCACCTGCCTCTACCTCCTGAGCACCGCTATTAAAGGTCTTCACCACCACCATGCCAGAATAAATCTTTGAAGTATTTTCCATACTAAGTTCCCATGTCCACCCAGCCTAGTCAATTCAGGGAGTCCCAGGTTCAGTGAGAGACTCTGCTTTAGAAATATAAGGTGGGCTGCCCGGTGTGCTGGGACACACCTGCGATCCTGGCTCCCTTGAGGCAGAGACAGGTTGTTCTCTGTGAGTTCAATACAGTGAGATCCTCAGTCAGAAGCTACAACTAAGGGGAGGAGAAAACACCTGGCCTCAGGCTCTGCTTCCACACACAAGATGCACATTCATACACATGCATGTATACACGCAGACACATGTATACACACTCTTACACATCGTGATTCAGCCTTCTTGTGAAAAACATGTCCAAGCTTTGTGGAACTGTTTTGTAGTTGAACATTTTCTGCCTTATGTGCATTTCAGATAACATGACTGTCATTCCTAACCAAGTCTATCAGCCTCTGGGTCCCTGCCCTTGCGACTTGACAGCCAAGGCCTGTGACATTCGCTGCTGCTGTGACCAAGTGAGTTCTTTCTGTTTGCCAGGCTACCTGAGAGCATTTGGAAATCACCAACAGTCTCCCCATCACCTTTGGCTGGCAGGAAAACCTGTCTGCAGTGACTGTTTTTGTGTTAGTGACGTGCACCCGTGTGTATTTACATAATCAGGATGGCTGGAGTCAGCAGGTGACACAAGGCACTGCCAGGCTGTACCCAGTCTGTGACTAACAGTATTTTGACCTCCTCCACTACCTGCCCTTGGAGCTGGTTGTATTGTATATTCTATTAGCCGCTACTGTTAGGGTTTGCTTCTCTATCAGCAAGTGTGCTACCACACACCAGTAACCTCTGGGGAGATTAAAACTAAGAATCAACATGAACTTGAAGTCAGCCTGGTCTACAGAGTGAGACGTTCTCATAACGAAAGAACAGGGCCCAGTGTGGTGGTACCCATGTATGTACAGGCATACATGTAGGCAAAACACTCATACACATAAAATAAAAGAAATATATTATTTTCTTTAAAAAAATAGGTAGCCCTGATCTACATAGCTAGTTAAAGTCAGACCCTGTTTCAAAGTAAAATAATAATAATAATAATAATAATAATAATAATAATAATAATAATAAAAACAGTAGGTGGCAGGACTTGGTGGCTCACACTTTTAATCCAGCACTCACTCAGGAGGCAGAGGCAGTTTGAGGTGAGTTTGCGGTCAGCCTGGTCTACCCCCTGAGTTTCAGCTAGATAGATCTTGTCTCAAATTAAATAGTAAATGGACAAACACACCAAATACATTTTGTATCAGTGACGTCTTCAGATAATCCCTACTTACAGTTTATGCACGATGTTAATTTTGTGTTGGAGGCACTGGGATTGAAATGTAGGCCTCACCCATCCCAGGCTGCCACTGAATAATGTGCCCAGCCATTCTCTGCTCATTTTTAAACATTTGAGACAAAGTCTTGCTAAGTGGCCCAGGCTGGTCTTGAGTTTTTGATCCTCCTGCCTCAGCTTCTTGAGATTACACACCTGGCTCTCTCTTGTCTGAGTTTTTGATGATGTGTCCACATTTGTAGTGAGGGTCACTTATTTGAAGGCTGGAAGTTTCTGACTGGGACTTCACTAGGGAGTTGACTGAGGAACTGTGTGTGTGTGTGTGTGTGTGTGTTATTACTCATGTGTGCACACATTTGTGGAAGCCAGAGGACAACCTTGAGTGTCATTGCATCCTTTTTTTATTTTATTTTATTTTTTTTTTTGGAGACATGACCCCCTCACTGAACCTGCAGCTACCATAGTAGGCTAGGCTGGCCGTCTAGTGAGCCCCAGGGACCCCTGTCTCCCTAGCACTGGAAGTGTAATCATGGGCCACCACACCTGGCCTTCCTAAATATGCTCTCAAAGCCGAACTCAGGCCCTCCTGCTCTTGCGGCAAGCAGTTTTACTGACTGAGCCACCTCCACGTCCCCAAGGAGCTCTCTTCTTGTGCTGCAAAGCACGTTGGGAGGAGATGGAGATACATTGCTTTCTTGGGTTGCAGGCTGGTGGCCTCAGAGTGTGTGTTGTCATGCTTGCTGAGAGCTGTGACCGGTGTCACAGTTGGGGCTTGTGTGCCCTCACTGTCCTTTCGTCTGCTTTCAAGGACTGCCAGCCAGAAGAGAGAGAGCTGTTCCAGCAGTCCTGCTTCTCCGGCGTGTTCGGAGGGGACGTCAACCCTCCCTCCCACCAGCGCTGTGCAGCTGGCACCGCTCATGAGACCCAGGACTGGTTTCCTTTCCTGTGTGTGCAGTCACCCCCCTCCACCTCACCTTTCCTTGGTCACTTCTATCACGGTGCCACGTGAGTAGCTGCTGCCTGACGGGGCCTGCTCTCTGGGGTCACCAGGTTCCCTTTACTGGGCCCTTGTCTTGGATCACATTTTTTTTTTTCTCGGTACCTTAAAGAAGTCCACACTGGTTTGCAGTTAGTGAAGCCATTTCTCCCAAAGCGTCAGAAAGAACTGAGACAAAAACCTAACAGATCCAGCCAGCAGTTGGCAATGACTTTCCAGCATGAAGGATGGAGCCAAGGGCCCACGGGGACTTGAACTTGCTGTGTTTTGTAGTTCTGTATCATGGAAATTTTTGTGTTGTTGCATGACAGGGTTTCTCTGTGTAGTCCTGGAACTCGCTCTGTAGACCAGGCTGACGAACTCACAGAGATCCACCTGCCTCTGCCTCCCAAGTGCTGGGATTAAAGGCGTCCACTGCTGCTGTCGTCACCACATCCCCACCCCCAGATGAAAAATTTATGACTATGATCTCTGTGACTAGAAAATGAAGAGCTGGGGTTGGTGTTGTATCCCTAAAGCCCCAGTACCCAGGAGGCAGAGTCAGGAGGATTAGAGTTCCAGATCATTCTTGGATATACAGAGAGTTTGAGGCCAGCCTGGGCTACATGAGGTCCTATATCAAAGCAAAGAGGAAGGAAGCACTAATGGGTAATTTTTGTCTCAGCAGTTGATCGTTGAAGTGTTACCACACATCTTTTTTTTTTTTTAATGGTGCTGGGGTGGGGAATTCAGCCTATATACAGGCTAATCGAACACCCCGAGGACCCATGGATAATCTCTCTTACGGACTTGCAGTTCCCCCAGACATGACCCCGCCTTTGAAGCTCAACTGCACCTCAATCTAAGAGACTTTGCTGATGCCGTTTACAAACAAGGTGATCCCATCATGACCACGCAGGGGTATTTTACCGTCCCTCAGGTAACACCTTCAGCTTCAACACTCAGCTCTAACTAGTGTTGTCTATCTGTAAGACTCTCCCCCTAAGCTTATTTTCCTCTTGTGTATTAACTATTAATAGTCCCTAGACTGGAAAGACTCATTCTTAACTTCTGCCTTTGCTACATCCCCAGCCCCAGTAATATCTGAGACACTCTAAGTATGTGACTATATATAAGAATGTTGACATACCCTTTAAGGTTAGAACGTCTTATGTGCAATCTATGTGCAGTTTTTTCCTACATCCATCATTATTGGGAATCCATGCCTGTGGGAGGAAAGCATGGGATGCATGACGGTTTGTTATTCCTGTGAACCCGGTTCATGTCATTGGAACTGTCTGGGGGCAGGATGTAGTGCTTAGCACTAAAGTTTATGGTTATTCCACATGGGGCCCTGGTTTTCCCACCTCCCTCAAAATTCAGGTTGTGATGAGGGATAAACAAGGTTGAATCTAGTCGTGACTTGTTAGTGGACAGGGCCAGGGACCTTCCCCGAGTGTATTAGTGGCTCCCAGATCCTGGTTCCCTAAAGTCCTTACTGTTGACATTGTCCAGCAATAGCAGTGGGCAGCAGAAAGCAGCTTGGAGTAGGATGGCACTGAAGTAGGGTCTCACACTGAGCCTAGACTGGTCCTGAATTTAGTGCAATTCTGCCTGAACCCCGCCCCTCACCCCAACTGCAGGGATTGCTGGCTTGAGCACCAGGCTTGGCAGAAAGAATGGTTTTAAGAGAGGAAGAAGAGCTGGGTGTTAATCCCAGCGCTTGGGAGGCGGAGGCAGGCAGATCTCTGTGAGTTCGAGGCCAGCCTGGTCTACAGATCAAGTTCTAGGACAGGCTCCAAAGGAATACAGAGCAACCCTGTCTCAAAAAAAAAAGAGAGAGAGAGAGAGAGAGAGAGAGAGAGAGAGAGAGAGAGAGAGAGAGAAGAATTTGGTGTACCATATTTATTCCTTGTCCTCAGGTGTCCCTAGCTGGACAGTGTCTGCAAGGTGCTCCAGTGGCTTTCCTGAGGAATTTTGATGTTAAATGTACCATCGATCTGGAAGTGTACCAAGAGCAAGATGGCTTTATCCCCGAGAATGGAAAGATCCGCACGGCAGGAGGTAGGCTGCCTTTGCTAGAACAGTGTGGTTAATAGGGAAGCCCTCCCTCCCCTTCGTGTAAGCCTCTGGCTCAGCATCTATTGGCTGAGAGTGGCATTTTCCCTGGGAAAAGTTCAGTCTCACTGAACAGCACCCTGGGCATGTGGTCGGTGTTTCCCTCTCTGCACTGGGCATGGAACACAGCGGTCGAGCACTGAGCCCCCACCCACTCCAGACCTCTATTGTCAATAACGTCATGTGAGTGCCATCGCCTTTCTGTACAATACTGTGTATATACCCTGCACTCCCAAGGAGCCCCAGACCTTTCAGTACCTGCAAAGGGAGCGGGCATCTTTTCAGACAAGAGCTCAGTGGCTCTTGTCTCTGCATGTCACATGGATGGAACCATTCCTTTGCTGCTGGCTCCTGGAACCCTCGGTAGGGGGGTGGGGAAGGACTGTTGAAAAGATAGACACACACTGTGAAACGGGCGGATCCGGTCCGGTTCTCCCACTACTGCTGTGATAACCTGCATCCTCAGCATGTATTTGGCACAGCGCAATGGGAGACTAGCTAGTCTCTGTAGGTCCCTACGGGCAGTGGTCCCTGACTCTGAACATCCAGGAGGAGGAAGTCACAGTTGCCAGTCTTTGCACACACAGAGGACTCCCAAAGAAAGCTTTGCCATTTTTTTTTTTTTTCTGTTTTGAACCTGGCCCATGGTAATGGTTTTGCTAATTTCCCACGGGCCAATTGCTCTTGTCAAAGTACACCTTGATTTAGGACCTCACTCACTGCCCCCAGGCTTCCTTTGCCCCTTGCACCCCGTGGCCGTCATCTGGCCTCTCACACCTAGCAGCATCTTTTTTGTTGTTGTTGTGTTGTTTTATTTTTCAAGACAAGTTTTTCTCTATGTGTCCCTGGCTGTCCTGGAACTCACTCTGTAGACCAGGCTGGCCTTGAACTCAAAGATGCACCTGCCTCTGCCTCAAGAGTACTGGGATGGGGGCTGAAGAGATGTCGCAGAGGTTAAGAGCACTGGCTGCTCTTCCAGAGGTCTTTTTTTTTTTTTTTTTTTTTGTGGTGGAGTGGAAGAATGCGCTCTTTTAGAGAGACAGCAGCAAAGAGAGAAAGTTGTAGCTAGTAGCTACTCAACCTCTCTGAGATAGCTGGTTTTCACCCCAGCCTTTGAATCTCGTGTCTTACTCATTAATAGAATGATAGAGATTAAGTTAAAACTACCTTTAGCAGCAGCAGCAGAGTTGCAGTTGTTGGCTGAAATAGCAGTAGATTAAGGTACAGCCACTGTGCCTGAAGTTAAAACAGCATTAATTCTGTGTCTTCTCAGGTCTGATCACACCAACAGTAACCTATGAGAAAGCCGCTGACTTGGACAAGCTCATCTCTAGTCCAGGTACATCAGTGTTACATGCTCATGCCTTCTACAAAACACAGGTGTTGTCTTCTTCTATTTTACTTTATTTTTAAGATAATATCTCACTATGTGGTGCTGGCTGCTCTGTAATTCCCTATATAGACCATAATGGGTCAGACTCACAGAGATCCACCTGCCTCTGCCCCCCAAGTGCTAGGATTAAAGGCGTGCCCCACCAACACCAGCTAAAACAATTTTTTAAAGATTAAGTTTTATCTATGTGTGTGTTTGATGTGTGCTAAGGCCAGAAGAGGGTATCAGATTTCCTGGAGCCTGACTTACAGTTGATTGACATGAGTGCTAGGAATCAAACTCTGGTCCTCTGTGGGAGCAGCAGTCACTCTTAACCACTGAGCCACCTCTGCAGCTCTTTAAATTGGAAAATTATGTGTTATGGTGTGGGTGTGTGGGTGTGTGTGACTGGGGTTGGGGTTGGAGCTGGGGCTGGGACTGAGCTTGTACACACCAGTACAAGTGCTTTTAGAGTCCACAAGAGGGAGCTGGATCCACTGGAGCTGAAGTTATCAGGTATGAGTGCTGGAAACCAGACTTGGGTCCTCTGGAAGAGCAGAACTTGCTCTTAACCCATGAGCCACCTCTCCAGCCCCTGTTATGTGTGTTTTTGAGACAGGTTTTCACCATATGTCACCACGATCACAACTTAGCCTCCTGGGTGCTGCTGGTGGCTTTCTGTGTCATGTCTTCCTAGTGTGGCACAGCCCCAGAGTAGAATGCATTTCCATTACAAATTGAAGGAGGAGGTGTAACATGAAGAATAAAGGACTCAGAAGTTGATACTGGGGTTCAATCTGAAGATCAGGGAAGCAAAGCATCTGGCCACTAGCTCTCACTTCAAGCTCAGACTGAAAGGGCTGATCCACATGAGCTCAGTACCAAGCCTCAAATTGCAAAAACAAACAAACAAACAAACAACCCATAAAAATAAGATGATGGGTCAGAGGGGTGACCCAGAGGGTAAAGGTGTTTGCAGCCAAGCTTGAGGATCTGGGTTCAATCCCTGGGACCTATGTGGTGAAAGGAGCCAGCTAACTCCTGAGAATGGTCTTTTGACCTCCACTTGGGCACTGTGACAAGCCTGCACCTACATATGCGTGTGTGCAGTGTGAGGGAAAGCGGTGGGCATGTGCAAGGGTGTGTGTGCACAAGGAGGAACACACACTACTAAGTACAAACTGTGAAAAAAGAAAAGATGGAGAGTGGCTGAGGAAAGTACCCAACATGGAACTCTGACCTCCACATGCACCGTGGGCATGTGCACAAGTCCACACAGGAATGTTTACACATATGTAAACACACGAAGTAATTGAAAATTTAAAATTGGGGCCTGGAGAGATGGCTCAGTGCTAAAGAGCATTTGCTCCTCTTGCAGAGGATGCAGGTTCAGTTCCCAGCACCCACAAGGAGGCTCACATGTATACCTTCAGTTCCAGGAGATCTGACACCCTCTTCTACCTCACGGGCACCAGTCACATACCAGGGTGTACACACTTATGTGCACCTGCAAGCAAGACCCTCCTGCACATTAAATAAAAATAATGAATACATCTTTAAGAAAGAATTGATGACCGGGCAGTGGTGGCGCATGCCTTTAATCCCAGAACTCAGGAATTCAGGAGGTAGAGTAAGGAGGATCTCTGGGAGTTCCAGGCCAGCCTGGTCTACAAAGTGTGTTCCAGGACAGGCAGGGCCACAGAGAACCCTGTTTCAAAAAAAAAAGACTTGATGGAGGTCAACAGAGTTGGGAGAACTCTCCAGCAGAGTTCTCTTGCCCGTTCTGTGTGGCTTCTGTAAAGTATCTTTGACCTCAGCCACCTCCTTACAGGCCCTGAGGGGATATACAGCAGTGTCCTCTCCAGCTCTTAAGTTCTGAGAGCCTTTTTGTTTGTTTCTGTTTTTCGAGACAGGGTTTCTCTGTATTGCTTTGGAGCCTGCCCTGGAACTAACTCTGTAGACCAGGCTGGCCTGGAACTCACAGAGATCCACCAGCCTCTGCCTCCTGAATGCTGGGATTAAAGGCGTACGCCACCACTGCATGGCCCAAGAGCCTTTTCTTAAATAACTCTTAGGTTGTTAAGAATCCTTAAGGGCATAGCATGTTCATTCTTGCCTGTTTTATTTTCTAATCTCTCTCTCCTCTCCCTCTCTCTCTCCCCTCCCTCCCTCCCTCCCTCCCTCCCTCCCTCCCTCCCTCCCTCTCTCTCTCTCTCTCTCTCTCTGTGTGTGTGTGTGTGTGTGTGTGTGTGTGTGTGTAGGCATGTGCATGAAATCAGAGGACAAGCTTGGTTGTGGGTACTCCAGGCATCCTGTTCCTTGATACATATTCCAGGCTAGCACCAGTATTGAAGCTGAGCTCCTTCCTGGCTTTCTGGGGATCTGAGCTGTCTCTCCAGCTCTCCTGTTTCCTGCCTTTCCTGGTAGTTAAGCTTTGCATCTGGGATGCAGCCAGAGAAGCTGTGTGGGTGTGGCTGATGTGAGCAGCCCTTTGTTTTGAATGAAGGTGTGGCTTGTTTCCTGTTCCAGTGGGTTATGACTTTGTTCCTGGCTGTGTGTTGGGAACTCATAATGTCTAATAGCTGCTATGTCTCACGCCTCTGCTTCTGGATGCATAAGTGTCCCCAAGTACACACTTCTGCTCATGTAATGAGCTCAGTGCCAGGGACACAGGAATCGAGGAAAGGAACAGAATCATTCAGGGAACTGAGGTGGAACAGAGGATGTGGCTAGCTGGCATGGGACCACAGGAAGCTCCGAGGAGGAAACAGTGGCTGGGCTTCCTTAGGCTGGAGAGAAGGGCTGGGGGAAGCTCACTCAGACAGAGAGAGCGCCAGTAGCATTTCAGCTCAGAGAGCATTTGTTTTGTTTTGATTTGTTTCAGGCACACTTTTAAACACTGGATCTGCCCCCAGGAATGTGACTGTGGAAGAGCATTATGTTTTCAGATGGCAAAATAATTCTATCAGTGGACTAGACATCACAATCATCAGGGCAGAAATCAGTGCCCACCAGAAAGGTAATGGCAAGGAGGGGCTGAGAACGCTTGGAGTTTGAAGTTTCCCAATGTTTTCTGTAACTACAGCTCTTCAAGTGAAGCCAGACTTGTTTATCATGTGTGCTTATCACTGAATCAAGGAGTAGTATTTTTTTTTTTCCTTCCCAAGATAGGTTTTCTCCTTGTAACAACAGCCCTGGCTGTCCTGGAACTTGCTTTGTAGACCAGGCTGACCTTGAACTCTCAGAGAAATCCATCTGTTTCTGCCTCCTGAGTGCTAGGATTAAAGGCATGCGCCGCCACCGCCCATCAGGAGTCAGTAATTTTTTGGACATCAAATGTAATTTTGTGCGATGGCTGGTGGCTCACACCTGTAGTGTTAGAACTCTGGAGACTGAGTGAGATAGTGAGCTCAAAAGCGGCATAGGCATATGTAGTGAAGCCCTGTCTCTAAGGAACAAGAAAAGGAAAGTGGTTTTAAAGTAAATGGTACCTGGGCTGGAGACAGGGTTCAGCACTGGCTGTTCTTCCAGGGGTTCGGTTCCAGGCTCAGGTCCCAGCACCCACAGGGCAGCTCACAGGAGATCAAGTGCACAGCAGACACTCCACAGACACCTGCAGTGGCACACACATGTCCACACACATATAAATGTGATTAAAAATAAAGTCTCACTGGGCTGCGGTGGCACATGCCTTTAAGCCCAGCACTTGGGAGGCAGAGGCAGGTGGATCGCTGTGAATTCGTGGCCAGCCTGGTCTACAAGCCATGTTTCAGGACAGTAGGACTGTTACACAGGGAAACCCTGTCTCAACGCCCTTCCGTCCACCAAAAGAAGTCAATTAAAAAAAAAAATAATATCATTGGGCTGGCAAGATGGCTCTTCTGGGAAGGGCACCTTTGACAAGTCTGACAATCTGAGCCTGATCCCCCAGAACTCCTGCAAATTGTCTTCACACCTCTGAATGTGTACCCATGCTGTATACCCACATCCACACAAAATAAATAAAATGTAATTGTCTTTCTTTTTTTGATTTTCTGAGTCAGGCTTTCTCTGTGTAGCTACATAGACCGGGCTGGCCTCGAACTCACAGAGATCTGCCTGCCTCTGCCTCCTGAGTGCTGGGACTAAAGCTGTGCGCCACCATCACCACCACCTGGTTATAAAATGTAATTTTAAAAGGAGAAAAGGAATAGGATGGGCATGCTAGTGTATGACTTTAATCCCAGCACTTGGGAGGCAGAGGCAGGCGGATCTCTATGAGTTTGAGTCCAGCTTTGTCTACAGAGCGAGTTTCAGGACAGCCAGGATTGTACAACCCTGTCTCAAAAACAAAACAAAACAAAAACAAAAAACAAAACAACAAAAAGAAAATAAAAACTCACTTCATAACCCTTGGTAGGAATCTTCTGTGTAGACCATGCTGGCTTCAGCCTCTTGAGTACTGGGATCAAATACCACACCTGACTTGTTTCTGTTTTTTTGTTTGTTTGTTTTTAATGGTAGCCTAGACTGGCCTCCTTAAAGCAATCCTCCTGCCTCGGCCTCCTGAGTGCTGGAATTACAGTGTGCATCACCATGTCTGGCTCATGGGAGTTAATTTCTTTTTCCAATGAAATGGTACACTTTATGTCTCCAGTTTCTTTTATCTCTAGGAACAATGACCCAGAGGTTTACAGTGAAGTTTTTAAGTTATAACAGTGGTGATGAGAAGGAATCTTCTGGAAATCCAGGTAGGATGACTGACAGTGCTGGTCTGTACAGATCTTAGTCACTCCTGGGCTGTCCCATTGATGGGACTGTCCTGAGTTGTGTTCATCTCCATAGCCTGTTTCTTTATCCTGTGATGGTCCATTTTCTCCGATGGCAACTTACATGCATGTTGCTATGTTGCTTTAAATGCAGATTTTATTCTCTTTAGCCTCTGGCCTTTTATTTTTGTATTTTCTGGGGTGTATTTTTTTTGTTTGTTTTGTTTTGTTTTAAGGTTTAAGGTTTGTTAAGGTTTTTTTCAATGTAGCCCTGGCTGTCCTGGAATTCTTTATGTGAACAAAGAGATCTGCCTGCCTCTGCCTCCCAATGCTGTAATTAAGGGCATTGTGGCACCACACCTGGCTAGTGTGTGTGTGTGTGTGTGTGTGTGTGATGATTTCTTTTTATTTTAGGTGCATTAGTGCTTTGCCTGCATGTGTGTCTCTTGGATCTCTTGGAACTGGAGTTACAGACAGTTACAAGCTATCATGTGGGTGCTGGGAATTGAACCTGGGTCCTCTGGAAGAGCAGCCAGGACTCTTAACCACTGAGCCATCTCTCCAGTCTCTTTTTTAAATGTTATTTTTATTTTTTGTTATGTTTGTGTATGTGTTCACTCACATGTGCCACTTGTGTGCAGGCACCCATGGAGGCCAGAAGGAGGGGTGGGTTCAGAGTCCCTGATGGAGTTTTAGGCACTTGTGAGTCGCCAAGCGTGTGTGTGCTGGGAACCAACGGTGGGTCCTCTGGCAGAGCAACAATTGTTCTTAACCACCAAGCCGTCTCCCAGCTTCTGGGAGTTTTGTGTTTTGTTTTTGAGTCATGATATTTGTGTATGGCCAAGGCTGGTTGAGCTCGGGATCTAATCCCCTTCCTCAACCTTCAAAGGAGCTGGGCTTATAGACACTTTGCCACCACCTGGTGCCCTTGACATTTGGAAAGAAACCTGATAGGTCTTGTTGAGGGCCACTGTTCTCTTGAGTATGGCAGGCAGCCACTCCCTTAGTCAGAACAGACTTGACTGTATCTACAGGAGACCCTCAATGAGGTCAGGCCTGTTTCCCTCCCAGCTGCTTGGGAGGGGTGAAAGGTTCACTGAAGGGGTATTTCGTCCGTGTTGTAGGGAGTCACCGCCTGTGCTGGGTGGGAGTCTCGATGTCGCAGCTGTCTTAAGGTCACCCCCACTCCTGTGAGTTAGCCCACCAAAGTCGTGGGCTCACGTCTCTTGACTCCACGTTTATTCACACGTGGTCAAGGAAAGGCTGGTACTGGCTTGCGAGGTACCTGCTCATTTCATGTTCTTTGGCCTCCTTGGTGCCTGCTGTGTCCTGTGGAGCCGCTCAGCACCTGACATGTGGTAACATATGTGGAGTTGGTAATATTTTAGGTCTGGCAGGATAAATGAAATACATCAGGGGAGGCAGGTGTTCATGAGTGGTGAGAAATAAGATCAGAAGTGACCTTGACTGGGTTGTCATCTGTAGAACAGGCACTAACCCACATCAGGGAATGGGGAGGGAAGTATGAATATACACCAAGAAGGCCGCTGCTGTGAGGGGTTGTTTTGGGAAATGGTGCTGTGGCGAGGCATGTGGCATTGCCGTCCATTTAAGTGGTTTTGTACCCTGAGCTTCCTCCCTCTACATCTTGAGAAGGGGGTGCACATGGGTGCCATCATGCCTGGCTAAAAATGAGTAAGTCAAAAAAATTGAAACAGGAAGTGGAAATCACCATCCTTTTGCCTCAGCCCTCCAAGTGTTGGGGTCGCCAGCTGGTGTGCTGGCTGTGTTTACAAAGCTCTGCCTCCTAGGCTTCCCTCTTACACTATCTGATGGGAGGGATGATGCCAGCTTTATTTGCTGTGTCTAGGTTACCAGCTTGGCAAGCCGGTCCGAGCCCTACATGCCAATGGGATGAATATCACTGCATTACACCTCTGGCAGCCAGGTAATGTGCTTTTGCCTTTATGATTTGCCTCCTGACGGACTGGAGTTAGAAATATTTGCTGCCCTTTTGGCTTATGGCATGAGGGGAGGGGCTGCCTTTTGTGTTTCTGTGGCTTTTCCCCCCAAGGGTGCCTAGCACATTGTACCTAAAGTGCTGGGTATTCCTAAGAGCGGCTCAGGCAAGGTTGTGCTATCTGTGACCAACATCTGCTCCTTGGATTGAGAACAGTTCTCTCTGAACCGTGGGCGGTGCCCACACCTACCAGAAGTGGCAATGTCCTGCTAGCAGGCAGCCACTGGTCGCACACAGTGGGGCCTTTGTGTGGCTTTGAAAGGATAGAAGGAGTAGAGCAGGGGTTCTCAACCTTCCTGATGCTGCTACCCCTTAATACAGTGAATGCCTTGTGTCTTAGTGACCCCAACCACTGCGTAACTGTAATTTTGCTTCTGTTATGAATTGTAATGTAAAGATCTGATATGTCATCCCCACAGGGTTCATGACACATAGGTTAAAAATCACTAGATTAGAGTAGCAACAACCCAGTTTGCAGAAACTAGAAACTTTATTTAAACTCTCCATCATTGGTTTGGTTTAGCTCGGTGTCCTGGCACATCCCTGTCATCCCAGGACTTGAGAAGTGGAGGCAGGAGGGTCAGGAGTTCAAGGTCATCCTCAACTGCGTTGTCAACTGGGCTGTGTGAGACCCTGTCTCAAAAAAGATAAAAGTTAGCATTTTTTGTTTGATTGATTGAAACAGGGTCTTTCTGTGTTGCCCAGGCTGACCTTGAACCGTCATGCTCCTGCCTCAGCCTCCTGAGTACAACTGTAGGAAAATGTTGGAAGTCAATCTTTACTTGTATTTAGCAGAACAGTGAGAGGCTCATCTTTCTCTTGCAGCTGGAAGGGGCTTGTGCGCTACAGCCACTCTCAGACCCCTTTTGTTTGGAGAGAATGTACTCGCCGGCTGCCTTCTGGAGGTTGGGATTAATGAGAACTGTACGCAGCTCAGGTGAGTCTCGTGTTGGTCATCTCATACAGCCAAGGATGACCTTGAACTCTTGATCCTCCTGTCTATCTCCCCACCCCCAGACAGTATTGGTTCAAGTGAGTTTCATTGGTGAATTTCTCTGCATTTTGAGTGGTTTTCTTAAAATTAATTTGCCATGTTAATGTCAAAGACAGAAGACTGAAAAGTTACAGTGAATTAAAGTTGGTGTGCAAGTGATATGCAGTGGTGGTCACATACACGCATGTACACACACACATGCTGCAGCACGCGTGTGCTCGCACACACACATACACACACAGCAGTTTTTCTCCAGCACAAATTCTAGGTGTGGGACACAGATCATCAATGTTGGTGGCGCTTGTTCTTACTCCCAAGCCATCTTGCTAGCCCTGACTTTTTTTTAAATTGAGGTAAAATTCCCATAATGTAATTTACCTTTGAGAAGTAAGTGATTCAGCCAGGCACCGCAGCTCATACCATCATCCCACTGTAGAGGCTGAGGCACGGTTGTTGTCTGGGCTCTTCTTGGGCTGCATATAACACCTTGTCTCAACATAAACAAAACCAAACAAACAGGGTTTGTTGGGGTGGTTCAGCAGGTAAAGGCATCTGCTGCTAAGGCTGATGACTGAGTTCACGACCAGGACCCATGTGGTGCAAGAAAACTGACTCACTTAAGTTGTCCTCTGACCTCCCCAAGTATGCCTTGGCACATGCACACATGTTTAATAAACTAAAAACAAGCAAAAAGTGAACAGATGAATATCATTTAGCCCTTTCATGATCTATGAAAGGTTCTGTTTTGTAAAATATTCTCATTACCAAAGATGGAAATCTGTAAGTATAAACTCACTCCCCAGGTCTTCTCCCCAAAGTCTCTGGTACCAAGTCCCCTGCTTTCTGCCCCTGTGGCTTTGCCTGCCTGTTCTGGGTGTGCAAATGGGATCCTACCCACTCTGCTGTTTGTTTTCCATGTCACAGCATGCTCTGGAACTCGGTTCATTTCTGTGGTGACTTGTAGACTGCCTTTGTGTCTCCGTCTCGTTTATCCCCCAGGGTGGATGGGCATCTGCATCTTCCATTGTTTGACTGTGTGCACTGCATCCAACACTGTTTCTGTTTGAATGTGCTTACCATTCTCTCTCTCTCCTCTCCTTCCCTCCCTCCCTCCCTCCCTCCCTCCCTCCCTTCCTCTCTTCCTCCCTCCCTTCCTGTCTTCCTCCCTCCTTCCCTCCCTCCCTTCCTTTCTTCCTTTTTGCTTTTTGAGACAGGGTTTCTTGTAGCCCTAGCTGTTCTAGAACTCACTCTATAGATCAGGCTGGCCTTGAACTCACAAAGATCGCCTGTGCTGAGATTAAAGGTGTGCACCAGCACCACCTGATTAGCACTTCCTGTTCTTTTGGTGTGTGCCTGGGAATCACAGTGCCAGGTCGTTTGGTAATACCCTGGTATCTTTTTTTTTTTTTTTTCAGAACCCGGTTTTTCCTCATGGTGGCATCTTTGCCATTCTCACACCAGAGTGGGACAGGTCCAGTTTTCCACATCTTTCCAACACTGGCCATTTTCTCGTTTTTTAATTAAAATTTGTTGTTGTTGTCGTTTTACATTCGTCTTTATATTTTGTTTGGGTGAGCGCCAGGACGGGCAAGCATACGTGTGCTTTACATGTGGAAGTCAGAAGACACTCTCTGGCCACACCAGCCTCTGCCTCCTGAGTATTTGGGTTAAAGGCCTGCGCCAGCACTGTCTGGCTAGACCAACAAGTGTTCTGAACTGCTGAGCAATCTCTCCAGCTTATATCCACACACATACACCCTGCTTTTAATGCCAGTTCCTCTGGCAGATTTTTATTTGGGCTCCCAGCAAAGACTACGTGGCCAGTCTTGGAAAAGGACTCAAGGACAAGCACCATTGGCCACCATCTGAGAAGTGCTGTCCTCCTCTCTTGCAGGGAGAAGGTCCTCCAGAGGCTAGATTTGTTGGTACAAGCAACGCATGTCGCAAGAAGAGGCAACTCAGATTACAGCGATCTGAGTGATGGCTGGCTGGAGATCATACGTGAGTCTTGGTGGCTGTGCACAGGGGCTTATAGCTATTGAGCCCGTGGTTACCAGCCATGGCTCAAGAACCTGATTGATGGTGATGTACTTCTGTATATATGTTTCTCTTAATGGTTGATGAATACAACACTGATTGGCCAGGCAGGAAGTATAAGAGGGGCTACCAGATGAGGAGAATGCTGGGGAGAGGAGGCAGGAGGAGGCAGAGAGAATCTGCCGGGGAGGGACACCGTGCAATTGCTAAAGGAATAACATGCTGGTGTCTTCTCCGGTAAGATAAGGCCAGGTAGAAATACATAGATTAGTAGTTATGGGTTAACAATTAAGAAAGAGCTTGCCAATAAGAAGCCTGAGCCATCAGCCAAATAGTTGCTAATTAATATAAATGTCAGTGTGTTTATTTGGGGCTAAAGCAGCAGCAGGGCAAGGGCGGGAAACTCCGGCTACACCTGACATTTGGCTAGGGCTCTCTGCTGCGGGCTGGAAGTTTTTCTCAGCTCTCTCATGGCTTTTGCATCACACGGGAAACCCTATGAGCTTCCTCTTGCCAAGAGTCCAGGCTTGAAGACCTACAGGGCACATCAATTTGCACTGGTGTTTTGAGCTGCCAGGAATATTGGCATTGAGAGCTGAGCTGGTAGTTTATAGAAGCCACTTTGTTAAGAGTTTGAAAACATGGTGCTGAGTGAAAGGGGCCCAGACAGAGACAACCCAGACCTCCGAATCCAGTCGTGTGCAACGCCCAGAATGGGCAGTGTATAAAAAGCAGGTTCACAAGTGCTAGGAAACGGGGAGGTACTGTTGTGATCTGAGGAGTTCCGTGAGGGTGATCGGAAAGGGAATCAGGCTGAGATGTGGCTCAGCATCCTGTCAGTGTGTACAGGGCCCTGGGTTTGATTGCGCTCCAGCACCAGCTTCCTCCCAAACAGCCTGAAAGTGGGGATGGTCACTTGGCTCTGAGTTGTTCATTTTGAAGAGGACTGAGCAGGGACCAGGGTGTAGCTCTAAGGATGGAAGGTTTCCTAGCTTGCTCTCCCTTTATCCTGGGCTTGCTAGTATTATTACAGTGCCCCCAGCCAGGAAATTGCTTATTTATCTAATCCAAAGATGCTAGGATGGTCCCCTTCCCCCCCCCAACAGGGTTTCTCTGTGTAGTCTTGGCTGTCCTGGAACTTGCTTTGTAGACCAGGCTGGTCTCAAACTCACAGAGATCTGCCTGCCTCTGCCTCCCAAGTGCTGGCATTAAAGGCATGCTCCACCACCACCTGGCACTGGGATGAATTTTAAATATCTGAGTCTGATAGGGTTGAGACTGTCTAAAAGAGCCTTGTGACTCTTTACTGTGGTTCTGTATTGTCCCTGTCTGTGGCTTTCAGGGACAAGCTTAGACTCTGAATCTTTTTTCTTTTTTAAGAAAAGATTTTATGCTGGGCAGTGGTGGTGCACACCTTTAATCCCAGGACTTGGGAGGCAGGGGCAGGTGGATCTCTGTGAGTTCCAGGACAGGCTTCAAGGCTACTGAGAAACCCTGTCTCAAAAAAAAATTTTTTTTTTAAATTTTTATTTATGTGGGTGTGTGTCTGTGTGGGAACTTATGCTGCTGCCCTTGGAGACCAGAAGAGGCCATCGGATGCCCTGGAGTTGGAGTTACAGGTGGTCAGTGCTGGGAGCCGTCAATGCTCCTAACTGCTGAGACATCTCTGAAGCGCCAGACACTTAGTTTTGTTATGTGGGTTGGGACCTCATTCTCCACACAGGGAAGTCACTCAGGTGAGTAGTACCTGTTTCTGCCGGATGGACATGAGGTCACATATCCATGGAGTGGCAACAATTAGAGCTTGCTAGAGAGTAGAGCCTCAGGCCTGGGAGCCAGATCATGTCACCTTCCATTCCTTAGGATGTCGTGTGTGACACTATAGGACAGCTGCTCTTAACAGTTGGCTAACTTGACATTCCTGCAGGTGTTGACACCCCTGATACAGGTGCCGACTTGCCCCTGAGCAGTGCGAATGGCATCTGCCCGGAAGTCCCTACCCAGCTCACCATCCGAATCCTCATTGCCGAAGCTGGCGCTGTGGAAGGGGTGGCTCAGCAGGAGATCCTCGGCGTGGAGACAAGGTGTGGTCCCCTCCTGAGAGGTGCCAAAGCCAAGAATGGGACAAAGACTAGGGATGCTAGGCGGGAATCTGCACACTTGCAAATGGGGATTGTTAAGGATCTGGCTGTATGAGTGGAGGGTGCAGACACCGTTTGAGACTGAGCCTGCCTTCAGGAGTATTTGTAAGTCTCTGTGTGGGAGCTGCTGCAGTGTTGGGCGAGCCAGGGTTCATAAGGGCTGTGCAGTGCTGAGTGTATTTAACTCTGTGACCCTGAGTGGCACATTGGTGACAGAATGTGGCCATAGACAGTTTGATATGCAGTCACCTTATCTGAGAAATGATGACATCTGTGCATCGTGTCTCTCCTGCATGTGACAGGTTCCACTTAGCAAAAAGTGATGTGTGCAGTTCAGTTTGGAAAAGTCACCATACCACGAGCTCAGAGAGGGTCTCTTCCTTTTCCCCACCGCTCACCTGCCCTGGGACTGTCTTCACTCTCAGGGATGTCCTCCTCCTCAGTGCTGCACAGTCAGCAGCAGCCCAGCCTCCCCTAGCCTTAGTAAAGAGAGGCCACCTTGTCGAGAGAGATCTGGTCAAACTTACTTATAATTATCCAGGGAGTCACCTGTTCCTTTTGGAGCCAGTTGCTATGATCAGGACTATCAACAGCTCTGGCAGGCAGGCTCTGGATTCAGGCTGGTGTATTCTGATTCACCGAACAGAGAGTGGGGAGTGGTATGTCCCCCATCCCTAAGGACAATGGGAAGCAATTACCAGAGTAGGAGGAGGGATGCCTAGTCTCCATCAAATCTACTTCAGAGTATTGGGATGGAGCCAGTGGCCTCTCTTTCTATGCAAGGCTCCACCACTGAGCGATACCCCAGTCCCACAGTACTGTTTTGAGGATTCCTTGCCATAATATGTAAAAAGCACCTTAGTTCTGTGTTGCGGGCATGGAATGGAATGCCCTCGATAAATGGCCAGCTGCTAATAGGCTGTTAGAGATGAGCAGTCTTTGCTAAGAGAACCTGGTGATGGGTACAGGGACTTGCAGATTCTGTCTGTCTAGATAAGAAATGGATGCGACACCTGTATTCCCTGGGGCCCTGAGTCAGACTTCTGATGAACGGTGGCCTCGCTGCCTTACAATCTCCCTCTTTTAGGTTCTCCACAGTGACCTGGCAGTACCAGTGTGGGCTTGCCTGTGAGGACAAGGCCGATCTTCTCCCTCTTAGTGCCTTGGTTCAGTTCATTAAAATCCCTGCGCAGATGCCCCAGCCCCCAACAAGGTGAGCCAATGGCTGACAGGCTAGCAGGTTCCTTCTTGCTTCTCATTTGTCCTCCCTGTAACCTTCTCATGTGTTTTTGTAGATTCCAGATCAACTTCACGGAGTATGACTGTACCCGGAATGAGCTATGTTGGCCCCAACTTCTGTACCCTCTGACCCAGTATTACCAAGGTAGGGAAGGCAGGTTCCTACGTGTTGTCAGTTATGTTATGCCAATCAAAACTACTACTTAAGTGTCCATGTGTGTCACAGATGACTTAAAGCACATAGAAAGACTTAAAAGAAGTAACCACACCACTATTGATGTTTTGTTAACTATTAATGGTTATTACTAATAGTAGATAAATAATTCTTCAGAGTCAAGATAGGATACAATTCAGTTGTTGTAGGGGATGGGATGGGGTCCTTGCAAGAATCATAGCAGATAGGAAAACAAACTTCAAAGAGATGAAAATGAAAATTCAGTTCAGCCCCACTTAGCCAGACTGAATCAAACTCAGAGATGCCAGGCGGTTTATTGCCAGCACAATGAAACACAGTACAATTTGGGGAAAAGTCTCCTGGTGTAATACAATCCCCAGTGCACAAGGAGGCATAATTAAGGCATAGTTGAGTTGAGTTTCAACTCAACTCAAAGTTTGTGTTCTTTCTTCCAAGATAGGAAGAGATAGGCTACCTGTACTATCTTAAGTTCTAGAGATAGGTTACCTGTACTAGCTGAAGGGCCTAAGGAAAGGTCTGGTGTGGTCTCAGTCATACAGTGTGTTGGGCTTATCTACCTCTGGTGGGAGTTTGGAGGAGCCCTTGGCTATATAGATAATCTAAGGGCCATTTAGACTATTAGCCCCCTCTGGTCCTGGCTATATAGATAATCTAAGTGTCATTTAGACTATACCACCTCCAGTCCTGGCTATATAGATAATCTAAGGGTCATTTAGACTATTACCACCTCCAGTCCTGGCTATATAGATAATCTAAGGGTCATTTAGACTATTACCACCTCCAGTCCTGGCTATATAGATAATCTAAGGGTCATTTAGACTATTACCACCTCCAGTCTTGGCTATATAGATAATCTAAGGGTCATTTAGACTATACCACCTCCAGTCCTGGCTATATAGATAATCTAAGGGTCATTTAGACTATACCACCTCTGGTCCTGGTTGTGAGAACCTGATATGGCCTAGCCCTACAGATAGCATAGACCACCAGACTGTTAATCACCCCAGTTCCCTGCCTTTTGAATGGAAGAATAGATCATACATTCTTTCCTCTGACAGGACGATCCTGTGTACTTAACACCCCTGGTTTCCCCTGGTGATCTGTGGATACAAGGATCCTTGTGCTCCAACAAGTAGTCTTTTGCTGTCTTTCAGGGGAGCCCCATTCCCAGTGTGTTGCCAAAGGCCTGATGCTGCTGTCTCTCCTCATGCTGGCCACACTCCTCAGTCATCCTTGGATTAGAATATGCAGAGGCCGGTGCTCAACTCCCATCTACCATTAAGCTTTCTCTAAGACTCGGAGCACCCACTCAGTGGCTCCCTGCAGGCCTGTGTGTCTCTCTGAAACCCTTTTGTTTGAGACAAGGTGTCACTATGTAGCCCTGGCTTTCCTCTAAATGCACAGGGATCTTCCATCTCTGCCTCCAGAGTGGTGGGATTAAAGGAATGCACCACCATGCCCGACTCATCTGAAAATTTTAATAAACAAAATGTCTATTTTTGTAGAAATCTTTAGTGTTCAATGAATTTCAGTCAATTATCCAAATGTCCAAAGTGGCCCAGAATGATCTTTCTAGCTGCTGACTGGTCGCAGGGGAGTTGATGGTGTCCCTTAATGTCAGAGACTGAAGCCCAGCACCACTTGCTAATCACAGGGGTTTTATTTTGACCAGACTTAATACAAGCATGTAAGAATAAAGAAAGGGTTGATTGATTACTGTCTCATGCTCCAGAGGAAGAGTTAGAAAATGCTTGTAAATGCTTTTTAAATTAAATTTTATTTATTATTATCATTGTGCCTGTCTGTGTGTGTTTGAGTGAATGTAGGTGGGAATACATAGAGTTTTCTCCTTCTGCCATTTGGTTCTGGGTTGGAAGGCAGGTTGTCAGCCTTGTGTAGACAGTGCCTTTACCCATGAGCCATCTCAGCATTACTTTAGTCTTAAAGTACTGTAGACAAGGCCAGCCTAGAACACACAGAGATCTGCTTGCCTCTGATGCCTGAATGCTGAGAGTAAGGGTGTGAGCTGCAATGTCTCATTCAGCTTTCTTAAACAGGCCAGGACTCCCTATCCAGGAGCAGTACTGACCATAATGGACTTGGCCCTCCTATATCAATCAGCAATTAAGATAATTCACCATGGACAGAGCCATCAGATCTGTGCCACCCCTCAGCTGAGAATCCCTCTTCTCAAGTGACAACATGTCATGTCGACAGTAAAAACTAACTGGTCCAGGGACATTTGAGCTGAGACCTAAAGGAGTCAGCTTTGATGAGGTCCAGAGGGCCAGTATTTTAAGCTGAGGGATTCCAGAGTTCAAATATGTGGACCAGGAAAAAGTTGGAGGAGGTGTGTCCTAGTGAAACGATCCAGGACTATGGTGAGGGATTTGGATTTTATTTGGAACACAATGAGAGAAGTCAGAGATTTTAAGCACTCGTCTAACAACCAAAGGGTGTATATTTGGAACAGAACTTTATGGCACAGAAAGTGATTAAAACTCTCCTCCTGGCCGGGCAGTGGTGGCACATATTAATTCCAGTGCAGCTCTTTGTGAGGTGGAGGCTAGCCTGGTCTACAGAGCTGTTTCCAGGATAGCCAAGACTACATGAAGAAATCCTCATCTTGACACCCCCCCCCAAAAAAAGACTCCATCTGACTCCCATTAAAATATGCTTATTTATAGGGGCTGGAAAGATGGCTCAGTGGTTAAGGGCATATATTCCCCCTTCAGATGACCTGAGTTTGTGGTCCATGTCAGGTAGCTGACTGCAACTCCATCTCCTGGGTATCTGAATCCTCTGGCTTCTGCAAGTCATACACACACACACACACACACTTACTTTAAAATAATACATTTTTGAAAATTTATTTTTTTAAAATTTGTTTTTTTAATGTATAGTGTTCTGTCTGCATGTATGCCTTGCAGACCGGAAGAGGGCACTAGATCTCATTACAAATGGTTGTGAACCACCATTTGGTTGCTGGGAATTGAACTTGGGACCTCTGGAAGAGCAATCAGTGCTCTTAACTGCTGTGTCATCTCTCCAGCCTTAAAAAAATCTTTTAAAAAAGACTCATTTATGTGTGTGCTTGAGTGTATATATGTGCAGAAGTTACCAAGGTCAGAAAAAGGCATTGGAGTTCTGGAAATTGGAATTACAGGTGATTGTGAGACAAGTAATCTGGATCCTGGGAACCCCAAAACCTAATGCAAGAGCTGTAAGTGCTCTTAACTTCTGAGCTATCTCCAGACCCTAGGACTCATTAAAACAACAATTACAACAAAAATCTCCTGAAGTTATTAAGTATACTTGCCTAAAATGTATGAAGTCCTGGGTTCCATCTCCAGCCAACACAGACTCAATGTGATAGTGCTTGCCTTTAATCCCAGAACTGGGAATGGGAGTGTAGGAGTTCGGAGACAGGAGGATCAGGAGTTCAAAGCCATCCCCAGCTACTTCTAGAGTTTGTGGCCAGCCTGGGATACATGGGACCCTACCAAAAAAAAAAAAAAAAAAAAAAAACCACCAAAAAAAACAACAACAAAAACAACAACAACAAGCAAATAAAATAGACCTCCCATCCTCTACTGCATGGTCTTACCCGTGCACACATGGGCAGCATTATTGGATTTAGTGGATCATCACTAAAAAAGACATGAAACTGTAGGGAAACGTTTTTGGAATACTGGGGGAGTTGGAAGGGGAAACGGACTGAGTTGATATTTTTCGTTGCGTGCATGTAGGAAATTCCGAAAAATAAGGAAAATCAAGAAAGAAGTCCACAGGGTGTGGTGGTCATTTGTAGACAGAGGAAGGATGATCTTTGTAAGTCCGAGGTCTACCTGGCCTACATAGTGAGTTCCAGGACAGGCAGGATTACACAGTGAGACCTTGACTCAAAAAGAAAATAAAAATAAAAATAAAAGTCTTTAAAGGGGCCGGGTGTGGCAGCACCTCCTAGGTAGAGGCAGGCGAAATCTTAAGTTCGAGGCCAGCCTGGACAGCCCGGCTACATAGATTCTGACTTGAAAAAACAAAAGCCTTCAAAAGGATCTGGCCGTAGTGGGGCACACCTACGATCTTGGTACTGGAGAAGCTGAGGCAGGAGAATTGCGAACTCCAGACCACCGTTAACTCCACTGCGAGATCCCATTTCGAAAAAGCATACTCCAATGAAACAAACTCTAAAAGCCGCGCAGGGTCCATCCCGCTAGCGTTCCCGCCTCCTGTGCACCGGTTGGGCGAACCGTAGTGACGGACTGCCACAATAACAACTGTTCATTGGTTAGCCTGCGATGGGCGGTTCCCCGGGGCGGAACCGGAACCGGCTGCGGCGGTGGGCGGGGCGTGACGGGTAGCTGTGGCGGCGGCTGGTGGCCGCGGTGGCAGCGGTGCGGAGCCCCATGGTGCCGGTGCGCAGGCCGCGGCGGCTGAGCGAGGTGGCGCCGCCATGGGCTCCCTGTTCCGCAGCGAGAGCATGTGCCTGGCGCAGCTCTTCCTGCAGTCGGGCACCGCATACGAGTGTCTGAGCGCACTGGGCGAGAAGGGCCTGGTGCAGTTCCGAGACGTGAGTGTCCCGCGGCCTGCGGGCCTATGCAGCCCAGGACTGGGTGCCGCCAAAGTCGGCCGGCGCCGCGGGGACCCGGGCCGGGAGGTGGCTTTGCAGGGTGACCAAGGAGGGTCCCTCTGAGGAGGTGGACTCTGAGCCGAGACCAGAGTGGGACAGGAGCTGTCAGGGAGAAAGAGGAGGGTCTCGGAGATGGCTTTGCAGGGTAGTCAAGGAAGACCCCTCCGAGGAGGAGGACTTTGAGCTGGGATCGGGATGGAACAGGAGCTGGCAGTGGGAATATGTGGAGGAGGAGGGTACCCAGCAGTGGTTTTTCTGGGTAGCTAAGGAGGGGCCCCTCTGAACAGGAATAGGTGGGAAAAGAAAGTCTGAAAGAGGAATGGGTAAGTGTGACAGGTTGTGAGTCCCTGGGTAGAGGGCTTTCGAGTTTTAGACTCCTGTGTGATGATGCGCCGGCATTGTTGACAAGTGACAAGGACCTGGGTCACTGTCAGTATGTATGGAATGGAGGCTGTCTCTGCAACTGTAATAACACACTTGCGAACGCAGCCATTGGCTAATTTTCAATCTCTGTACAACTAGCCTCCAAGGGCCTTGTCCAACTTGTTCTCTCCTCATTTCCCATGAGTGGCAAGGGCCCAGGAATTTATTGGCATTAATAAACAATTGTTGGGTGAATACATAAGCTTTTATTGAGTGACTTCTGGCCTTGGGGACTCTGAGCAAGGCAGATGAAGAATGACCCTGTGCTCTTGGAGTTCATAGTCTGGGAGGATGCTAGGTAAACACTGGCCATGAGCTACAATGGTAAGTGCTATGGAGGAGGAGAACGATGCAGAGAGACAGCCGAACAGGTCCTGATTCCTACTGATGGAGTCGAACCCTGCTAGTTTGGGCTTCTGGCCATTTTCCTGTGTCTTTCTGATGGGTCCTTACTCTCATCTGACATGGGTGATCCTTGCTTCTTCATGGGGGACTCCTGAGTGATAGATGAGGGTGCAGGCAAGACATAGTGCATCTTCCTGAGTCCCAGAGCCACTTGGACTACAGCCCTTGGATCTTCATACCTGACAGGTAGGGTGTGGTGCCGTGAGTGGCACCAGAAAGATCCAGGCCACAGTCGCAAGGGAAGCAAGCTTTTATATCAGGTCTATTTCTTCCATCCTGTTAGGACTGAAGCCAAAACACTTATCATGCTTCAATCTCAGGGGCTGAACAAGCACTGTAATCAGCTCAGAGCCTCAGGTTTCACTAAGATCCAGGCTGGACTCAGGGTCCTTCGAAACAGGGAGTGGATGGATGAGAAAGTGCTGCCAGTCTTTGCAGGAGGGAAATGAAATGGAAATATTTTTCTGAGTCTTGAGGAGAGCTGGGCATCAGGTGCCTGTAAGCTTTGGGGGAATTTATGGGGTGGGATCACCAGCCCTTTTTGGAGAAAGGAGGATTAGGAGTCATCCCCAGCTACTTCTAGAGTTTGTGGCCAGTGTGGGATACATGGGACCATATCTCAAAATGAAATGAAATGAAACAAATAAATAAATAAATAAGGGGTGGGCAGGGCAGCTCAGGGATTTCCATAGTGACTACAGTGGGAAGATCTGGAAAAAGACAGGCTGTGATCCTGAAGGGACAGCTGGGCTCAGTTCCATCTTTACTCTGAGGACAGCTTTCCTTCTTGGCCCTTTGGTTGCTGGGACTGGAAAGACAGCAGGTGCTGTAGCTCCATCATCTCTGCCTGCTCTTCTGGATTTGATGCTAGTCATATAGACAGTCTCTGGAGCTGGGCATAACATTGCAACAGTCTGGAGGCTGAGGCAGGAGGATGGAGAGTTCAAGGCTAGCCTGGGCTCCATAGGGAGAGATCTCAATAAAATGAAAAAGGAGGCAGGGAGATGGCTCAGCTATTAAGAGCACTTTGGGCTCTTGCAGAGGACCAGAGTTCAGTTCCCAGCACCCGTGCCAGGAACTCACAGCGGTCTGTAGCTCCTGCTCCTCAGGCACCCGCACTCATGTGCCCTTACCCAGACAGACACACGCACAGACATAATAAAGTAAATCATAAAAACCAACCAGACAAAGGGGTCCATTGAAATGTACCTTTACAACATTAGCTTTGGATTGAGGTAACTGCAACCTTAAACATTTTATAATCCATCCAACAGAAACAGTGACTGTCTAAGCTGCTGCTGCTGCTGGGTGTTTGTGTCCTGGTGGCAGGAGCACAACCCCTCACAAAAGATCCCGCTGTTGGGTTAAGAGTTAAGGCACCGCGGAAAGGGAACTGGCAAGTGGAGTGGCAGACAGGGCTGGTTCCTGGCTCCGATTCCCACTACTCAGTTCCTCAGCAGCCTCTGTGTGTCTGATTCGTCTGGAGGAGAGTGACCTCCAGAAGTGAAAGGGAATGAGATGGAGAAGTGCCATCCAGTTTTGAGCTTCCTTCTGGTTAGTGCTTTAAAAGTGGCTGAGAATCCCAACGAGAGCTGAGGCTTTGGGAGCGGCTGCTTCTTGGCTGTTTGAGCAGTTTCACACCAAGTCTGGTTGTGGAGCCCAGTGCAAATGCTGCACCAATACACATTCAACTTGCATCCTAAAAATGCCCAACCTTGTAAATGATGATTATTAAAGTAGGATATAAGGTGGTCACGGTGGCACACATCTTTAGTCCTGGCACTCAGGAGACAGAGGCAGGTAGATCTCTGAGTTCAAGGCCAGCCTGGTTTACAGAGTGAGTTCCAGCACAGCCAGGGCTACAGAGAGAAACCCTGTCTGCAAAAGTCAAAAGTCAAAAAAAAAAAAAAAAAAATATTGCTGCTATTGTTAAGAATAAAGTAATAATTACTGTGTGTGATTTAGGAAGAAATTAACATGTTAACTTTTCAACTCTTTTGAATCTGCTTTATTTACTTATTTACTAATTTTGAGGCAGGTCTTGAACTCCAAATATAGTTGGAGATGACCTTGACTTTCTCACCCTCTTGCCCCACTCCCATGTGCTGATATTGTAGGTGTGTGCAGCCACACCCCGTTTTATGTGCCTCCTGGGTGCTGGGCAGGCACCCGACAACTGACCTATACCCCCACTAACTTCCAACTGTTGGAGTTTGATGTAAATTTTTCTCTGACTCTGAGGTTCCTGTTCTTACAAGTTTTATAACCATAGTCATGGTTTTTCTTTAAATCTATGTTTTTTTCATGGATTACTTCTAAGCCAAGGGCTATTTTCCAGGCATTTCTGATAGCAGTTTGCAACCTGCTATCCAGAAAAGCCCTGTGGGTTCTCCTCTATCAGTGGCTGATGGCAGTCCTTTGGCAGTAATATTTTTCTTCAGCCTAGCTCAGTAGCAGAGTGTGACATCAGTACCAGCACATTTTAAATGACTAGATGAATATAAATAAAATTTAACGAGGCCTGTATTTGATCCCACCATCAAAATGTTTTAAATAACTAGGTTAATAAAAACAAATGTAAAATTTTAGGAGCTTAAAACAAAATTTTCTTCCTTTTTTCAGCTCAACCAAAATGTAAGTTCTTTCCAAAGAAAATTTGTTGGTGAGGTAAAGAGATGTGAAGAACTAGAACGAATATTGGGTAAGTTTGTCTTCTATTTTAATAATCTAAATAGTTTCATAGAAGCTTATCTATTTCTTTTAGAAAATATAGACAATAGAAAGGAGAGAAGTAGCCTGGCTGATGGAGCATGCCTTTAATCCCAGCAGTCGGGAGGCAGAGGCAGAGGCAGGCGGATCTCTGAGTTTGAGGCCAGAGTAGTCTACCAGGACAGCAAGGGCTGTTACACGAGAAACCATGTCTTGAGAAACAAACAAACAAGAAAGAAAAGGAAAAGAAGGGGGCCAGGTTGTTCACATTCCTGCAATTCATAGGTAGTCATTGATACAAGTGTGTATTGTCTTTTCCTTGTCCCATAGGCTGTAGAAGGAAGGATTGCTTAGGTGACTCTTGTTGGCCCTGTCTCTCATTTCATGGTCCTTGCTGTGGCATCCCTCTTGAGTATAAACTTAGGTTCATCATTTTTATAAGTTAAAAGCCTTGTATACATGTTAAAATATTACTTAATTGAAGACATTACTCAGGAACAAGAAAGGCAGGAAACAGCTGATAGCTGGCTTGCTATCAGTTGGTGTTTTGCAGGGTTTCCTTTGTGAACGGGTTAGGTTGGTGCTCTCTGCTTAACTCTAACAACTCAGTAGCCCTCGGTGTTTCCTTCACCTCTAAACCCTGTAGGACTTACCCCAAAGTGGTCTGGGTCTAGGAGAGTCTTGACCTTTAGAATGATTTCTGATTGTTAGTGGTTGCTTCAGTTTGTTTTTAAACAAGGGACTGTATTTTTTTTAATTCTTTGAAAACTTCATACATTTATACAGTGCATCTCGACCATATTCACCCCCCAACTCTCTCCCTCCAACTGTTCCCCAGTTCTTCAAACACTTCTCTCTCCCAGCTTCCTGTCCGTTTGTCTTTAATGACTTACCGAGTCCACCTAATACCACCTCTGTGTTCATGGGTGTGGAGTATCCATTAGAACATGGGCAGAGTGGTGGCCACAGCCCCTAAGTTAAGTGACCCTGCCTACCACTACCACAGTTGCTATCAGTTGCTAATAGCTTCTCGGCTACATATCCCCCTTAGTTAGAGATTTCTTTTTTCCTTTCTTCCTTTCTTCCTCTCTCCCTTTCTTTTCCTTCCTTTCCTTTTTTGCTTTTTTTTTGGTGAGTGAGGTAGATCAGGTCTCATGTAGCCCAGGCTGGCCTCAAACTCAGTATGTAGTTGAGGCAGAGCTTGAACTACTGATCCTCCTCCATTTTCCTCCCAAGTGCTGGCATGACAGGCCTGAGCCATATTTGAGACTGGGTCTCTCTGTGTAACAGCCCTGGCTGCCCTGGAACTCACTTTGTAGACCAGGCTGGCCTTGAACTCATAGTGATCTGCCTGCCTTCCAAGTGTTGGGATTAAAGGCATGTGCCACCATATCCAACATATTTTTTATTATTTTTAATTATGTGTGTGTGTGTATGTGTTTCTCTCTGTGTACACTGTGCAGATGCCCTTGAAGGTCAGAGGTGTGTTGTATTCCCCAGAGCTAGTGTTACAATGTGGCTGTGAGAGGCCCAGTGTGGGTGCTGAGGATTGAACTCAGGTCCTCTGGAAGAACAGCCAGTGCTGTTGAGTGCTGAGCCATCTCTAGCCAACACTTGAACTTTATTTAAGGGTTTTTAATATTAACAATAACATTTTTAAAAAAAGATTTGTTATGCTTCATCATGTGGATATGTTCACATAAGTGCAGTGCCCAAGGAAGCCAGAAGAGGGCATCAGATCTTCTTGGAACTGGAGGTATAGTTGTGAGCTGCCTGACATGGTTGCTGAGAGCATTGCACTGAGCCACCTCTCCAGCCCTAACAGGAGACCATGCTGGCCTCAGACTCACAGAGATCCCCCTGCCTCTGCCTCCCAAGTGCTGGGATTAAAGGCGTGTGCCAGCCTTAATGTTGACAGTGATTTTTAGTCATGTGTAATCTCTTGCTTAAGGTGCTAGTTATTTGCATACTAGTAGATTGTGTGGTGGAGTGAGGCATATTCCTCCTATAGGAGTCACTGGACAGGTCGCTTGTGAGGAACGAGGCTTCTGGAAGCAGAGCAGAGTCACCTGGTGCCTCTCAGGGGAGCCGCGCTCTGCTCTGACCTTGTCTGTCAGGTTCTCTCTGAGGACCCTGGAGGGAATGCCAGCTTGCCGCCTTTGTTGGGGGGTACAGGCCTGTGCCTTCAGTGTGTTCCCAGTCTTCCACAGGAACAGGCACACAAACATGTTTTAACCTGGGTTTTAAAGAGGAAAGGAGCTGGGAAGCTCTAGCCAGCGTGTGCCTGCCTCTCTGGAGGAAGCTGCAGGAGGTGACAAGGACAGGCAGGGTCTGCACACAGCAGGTTGGGACTGCTGGGGCTCTGATCGCAAAGGGGCACAGTGAGACCGTCTGACCGTGCATCTTATTTTCACAGTGTACCTGGTGCAGGAAATTACCAGAGCTGACATTCCCCTGCCTGAGGAAGAGGCCAGTCCTCCCGCACCACCTCTTAAACATGTTCTAGAAATGCAGGTAACTTGCTCTTGAAGACGCTGTCAGCCATATTCCTGGGGCTGCCTGGGCTCTTCCCGGAGCTGTGGCCTGAAGTAAAGGACAGTGGTGTCACACACCCTCAGTGGCTGTAGTTCTGTTCTGTCTGACTGTAGAGGACCGCTGCTGGAGGGAGCTAAGGAGAATTTGTTGTGCCATGGCAGGATTACCCATTGTAGCACACCTGTCCCTGTACTGGTGCAGGCCTGGGCTTCATGTCCTTCCCACTCCAAGCTCCCATCAGGAACCCAGAGGCCCAGGAAGACCTGAGTGGTCCCAGGTAGCTGGCATGTTGAGGTTGAAGGCTATGGCATCATTATCCCACCTCTCTGAGGCTCTAGACTATTTTTGGTTTTATCTTTTTAATCTTTTTATTTATTTATTTGGAGACAAGGTGTCAGTATGTATATAGCCATGGCTGGCTTAGAACTTGCTGGCCTTGAACTCATAGAGCTCTGTTTGCCTCTGGTCCTGAGTGCTGGGGTTAAAGGCTTGTACCAGCAAGCCTTTCCTTCTAGACTTTTCTTGTTAGGGTTTGGCACTCAGTAGAAATATGCTGGCTCTTCAGCACTCTTTTGAAATAATTGCCATAGTATTGCTGAGGCCCTCTGTGGCCTGCCGTTCTGTCTGTCTGGGAGGAAGTAGCCAGCCACTTGGTGCCTGAGCTCACACCAAGCACGTCACCCTCCCAGTAGCTGTGGCAGTCCTCTGGTTTGACTGGATGGCCTGGTTATGATGGAACTGTGGACAGGGCCTTGTCATTGCATACTTATGGACAGCGATGCGGCTGATGGTTTGGGGATGCAGAGCACAGTAAGGAGCAGGGAGAGATTGTTTTGAATGAGTTTGCGTTGGCTCACTTGTTTTACAAAGTCTGTGTCCATGGTTTGAATATGTAAGAGAGCAGGAGAAGGAATCTTGATTTTAACTGTCGAAGCCTATATCTTCAGTTGTCTGGTGGGACCAAGCAGAGACTTGGAAGCTGGAGGCAGGAGAATGTTCAGAAAAGGTGACCTTATGTTGTTTCCATTGCAAACAAAAGAAATATAGGTTGGATGTGTGGGGTGGACAAGCAGCTGAAGGCCAGCAGCATCAGGGCCTGGGGGAGGGGGTGTGTGTGGCCTGCAGGTGCTGGGGTCACTGGGTTCACTGCAGCCTGCAGGAGTCGATGGCAGGTGGTGTGATTCGCACCCTGAACTAAAATGAGCTGGTGAGCCTTGCAGACTTGATGTGTTCTCACACCATGTGGGCATTCTGGCTCTTTATTGGGCACTGTGGCTGTTTTGAGTCTTGGCGACTGGGATGGCGGGGAGGTTGTCAAGTCAGGCTGCACCCAGGACTTAAGCCTGCTCTCACCTGCAGCCGTGTTGTTGTAGGAACAGCTGCAGAAACTCGAGGTGGAGCTAAGAGAAGTCACCAAGAACAAGGAGAAGCTGAGGAAGAACCTGCTGGAACTGGTGGAGTACACCCACATGTTGAGGGTCACAAAGACCTTCCTTAAACGGAATGTGGAGGTACATGACAACAGGCGAAAACACACCATGAAAGTCCCCTGCCGTTGCTCGTGGTTTTGCTGTCAGCTCATTAGATGAGCTGCCTTTCGTTTTCAGTTTGAGACAGTCTTGTGAATCCCTGGCTGACTCACTGTGCAGCTCGCCTTAGCCTACTGGCCCTTGTGCGTCTGCTTCCCCAGTCGGGAATTAAAGCTGGCTTTGTCACACTGGGCAAGCACCCTGCCAACTGAGCTATCTCTGGCTCTGCGAAAATGTGCTTTTTTGTTTCTGAGACCAGGTCTCACTATGTAGCCCAGGCTGGCCTTGAGATTGGAGTGATTGATTTCCCCACCTCAGCCTTCTGAGCGTTGGCATTACAGGCAGGAGCTGCCATGCTTGGTGTAGGTGTGTTTTTGTTTCATCTGCTTTATTTTAGGCTGTGTTGTTACTTCTTCCTGTGTTGGTGGTTTTCACAGACACTACTTCCTGCTGTGAGATGCTTTAGTTTTCAGTTGAGAAAAAGGGTTTCTTTTTTTTTTTAACTTAAAAAAATGTTTAAAATATATTTTATATGTATTGATGTTTTGTCTGCATATATATATATATGTATATATGTATATATGTCTGTACACCACATGTGTGAATTGTAGAGGGTTGTGAGCCGACATGTGGGTCCTGGGAATCCAGCCCAGGTCCTCTGGAAGTGCAGTCAGCACTCCTAACCCTAAGCCATCTTTCTGGCTTCTATTTTATTTTACTATTTATGTGCATGGATGTTTTGCCTGCATTACCAAGTGTGCAGATGGAGGCCCAATACCCTGGAACTGGCATTATAGTTATGAACAGTGATGTGGGTGCTGGGAATTGAATCCAGGCACTCTGGAAGAGTAACAAGTGCTCTTAGCCACAGAGCCATCTCTCCAGCCCCAAGCAAAGTGTTTTCTGATCATGAGAAAAAAAAAAAGAAAATCTTTGTTTTTCTAAATGGCTGTGAGCAGATGTGTCGAGAAGAACCTCTCATGAGTGAAGACTTGTTCACACAGGTGTTGGAGGCTTTTTGGGCTGGGGGTGTTTGTGTGGATGCCCCTCGCCATATGCTCAGAGCACTTCGTCTTACTTACGGCTGCGCATGGGATGGGCCCCTTCCTTTCTGAATTTGCTCTTACTTGTGCTAGTTGTGACCCTAGATACAGTTATTGTCTCTTGAACCGAGGTTCAGCCTCACGTACAGCCACTCCCGTGTGTGAATGTCTTCAAGCAGTTCACCCGATGAGCACGGCAGGGCGTCTCTTTCTTTATGGTGCAGTTTACCCATCTCAGTTGTCGTTTGTCCCTGGTGCTCAGGTTGTACCATCCTCCGTGGACTTGTCTGGGTGCTTGTGAGGGTGCTTTGTTAACAGGTGCCCGCTTCCATGTCTTCCCAGTTTGAACCCACTTATGAAGAGTTCCCTGCCTTAGAGAACGATTCTTTGTTGGACTACAGCTGCATGCAGAGACTGGGCGCCAAGCTGGGGTAGGTGACGCTGGGCACCAAGCCCTTCTGTAGAATAGGAGACATAGGCCATAGTGCGGGTGAATGGGTCATTTACAGCCTGGGATTGGCCCAGAGTGAGAGTCTGTCGGAGAACACTGGGCTCCTGTACATTGGACTTCATCACACAGGATTGACATAGCAGAGTGCTGTGGGGATTTCTTCTGTTGGTATATTGAGTCGGAAAGAACCAATGTCTGTTCTTCAGTGTTGACTGGCACGAGCCCAACATAATTAGTTAATTGTTTCCACCAAGTCCTATGGTGGAAACATGGGGTTCTTCTGGGGTGATGGTTTTTTGTTTTTGCGTTTTAGTATTTTCTACATTAATTACTCATGTGCCAGGAGTCAGAGGACAGCTTACAGAGGTCAGTTCTGTCTCGCCATGCGGGTTCTCGGGTTAAACTCAGGTTTTGATTTTAATTCCAGTGACTGCTTCTGTCTCTGCACTTTTGTTTCCTCTGCTGTTTCTTCCTCATTCTCTTTTTCTTCTTTAGACAAGGTGTCCTCAGACTCTCCGTGTAGCTGAGGGTGACCTTGAATCTCTGATCTTTGCTTCAGCCTTTCAGGTGCAGGGTGGCAGGTGTGTTAACACGTCTGGCACTGCTGTCTCTTCTTCCTGCTTACCTGACCCAATGAGAACTCGTTTCCTGTGTAGTCTGTGACTTTCTGGTTTTTTTGTTTTGTTTTGTTTTGTTTTTTCGAGACAGGGTTTCTCTGTGTAGCTTTGTAGACCAGGCTGGCCTTGAACTCACAGAAATCTGCTTGCCTTTGCCTCCTGAGTGCTGGAATTAAAGGCATGAGCCACCACTGCCCAGCAAATTTTAAAATTCTTTTTAAATTTATTACTTTTTAAATTTTTTATTTGATTTTTTAAATTCATGATTTTTTTTTAATTTTAAAAATGTTTATGTATATGGTTGTTTTTGCTTGTTTGTATGTCTGGACACCATGAATGTGCCTGAGACTCACAGAGGCCAGAAGAGGGTATCAGATCTCCTGGAACTGAAGTTATAGTCTAGTGTGAGCCACTTCGAGGGTCCTGGGAATTGAACCCTGGTCCTCTGGAAGAACAGCCAGTATTCTTAACTACTAAGCTATCCCCTGCCCTGTTTTCTTTCTTTTTGAACATTATTCTAGTGTTTGGGGTTGGTGCGTGATATGCGCATGGAGGTCAGAGGGTGACTTTTCGGAGTCCGGTTCTCTTTCTACTATGTAAGGTCGGGCATGGCTGCAAGCATCCTCACTCATTAAGCAGTCTTGTCAGCCTCTTTTCCTTTTTTGTGGTTCTAGAGATGAGACTCAGAGCCTGGCACATTCTAGACAAGTGTTCTGTCACTGAATTACATCTCCAGTTATGGTATGAAGTTATGCTCATTTAGAGAGACTGCTCATACTCTGGTAGCTTGGAGTCTTGTCAGCTCAGGCTCAGTTTTTGTTCTTAGAACAGGATTTTTGTTGGTGTTTAAAAAAATTTTTTTTAATTTAATTTTTGGAAGTGAGATAAACTTATGCCAAAGTCCTGGCTGAAATCTGTGCTGTGGCTGTGTTCTCAGGGCAGACTTCTCCTGTGTCCATCACCGCAGCTGATGTGGGTAGATGGCTTTGAAGGCTCCTTTACCTCCAGGCCACCACTCCTGTAAGGAGCAGCCCTTTGGGCCGGAAGTCCTGGCTGTGGTGGATTCTGCCCCATCCCTGGTGCTTACTGTCATCTTCCACACTGGCATTTCCAGGGTCTTCATACCTGAGTCAGCACAAAGAGCAGAGCAGCTGCATATCTGGTTTGGTCTTGAAATTCCAAGACTTTCCACTCACTAGAGGCTCAGCTGCTTCTACAATGCTTTGTGTAGCCTGTGAGTTTCTTGCTGCTTGGTGATTCTTACACCAGCCTCTAATGCCGGGCTCTTCACTGTCTCACAGATTCGTGTCTGGCCTGATTCAGCAGGGCAAAGTCGAAGCATTTGAAAGAATGTTGTGGCGGGCCTGCAAAGGGTACACCATTGTGACCTATGCAGAGCTGGATGAATCCCTGGAAGACCCTGAGACGGTGAGTGCCTGTCACAGGCTGAAGATGGAGCCCTTGCCCAGTCAATGTGCACATTTGTCCTACGATTCTCCCAAGTCTGGGCTTCTAGACCCCATCTCAGAAAGCAGCAGCTCCGTGTCTAAGGTTCAGGCCAGAAGCCTCAGGACACCCACCCTTTCCCCACTCCACTCTGTCCCCAGCCTCAGAGGCTGGACTCAGAAACAAAGGGAGTCTGGGTCATTCTGGTTGGATCTTGGCGTCCTTTTCTTGCCTCTAGGTTGTAGCATCCCTGACCTGCACTATTACACTTGCCCCAGCTTGCCTTGGTCTCCTCCAGCATCCAGCTATCCCTGCCAGGGCTTCTCACTCTTCTTAGACTCTTCCAGTGGCTTCCTCTTTACACAGCAGAAAGCTCGAGCCCTGTGCTGGCTTGGGTCTTGTCTGTCCCCAGTTGCTCTGTTTTTCTCGTGCCCTGTCTGTCCGTTCAGCTGGCTACCCTCTCCCAGCATGCATCTCTGCTTTTCCCCATGTCCACGTGGTTCTCCTGCACCTTCACTCTCTACACTCGGCAGCCATCTTTCCCGGGACCTTCTTTCCCACCTGTTTAAGATGGCTGGCCACGCACACCCTGCCTTGCTGCTTGCCTCTCCAGCCTGTTTTTTTTCTGTGCTGTTCACTGCCATCTTGTCAGCCTGACCATAGCTCCCCTGGCTTGCTGCTGTTAGCCTTGGCAGCTCAGCAGTGGCTGGCAAATGGGCAGAGCACCCTCAGCTGTGTTCCCACTACCGGGAACTGAGCCTGGCCCTTGTTCACACGTGCTGAGTTCTGCACATCCCAGCGCAGCTTCGTAGAATTCTGTGTTGTTGAACATTTGTAATGATGGCTGGCTCTCATTGTTCACAGAATTATGTTGTTAAAGTCACTGTAAACACTCAGCAAATATTATGGGGTTTCTCTGCTCCTGGGGCAGCATGGGCTTACTCCTCCTGAGTGTCACTTCCTCAGTGAGCCACGTCTGTCTTTACATTGTGTTTCTCTTTGACTGCTTGTTTACTGGGCATTGTTGATTCTTGGGAACTACACTCAGATTGGTGATGAGTGAGACCCATTCACACAGATTTCCAGAAGACTCTTCAACTGGATTCTAGATGTATATGTTCCTTGGTGGTCATCTTAAGCAGTACCATCACCAACAAAACACATACAGGGACATTGTGGCAGTAATGGAGGAGGGCACTTGGTTATAATTAAAAGCTGAGCTGGGAGGAGGCAGAACTCGGCCTTGTGTTCTCCCACTTACTGGGGGTGTGTGGCTCTGCAGATGCCTGTGAACTGGCATATGCTAGCTTGGGGATTGTTGGTGAGTGGTCATGGATCTGCTGCAGTAAAAGTGACTGCACCTATGCCCCAGGCAGTGAACTTGGTGTGGAAGAGTGAGAGCTGCCAGGCACAGACTTGCCATTCTGTGTTTGTTTTTGTAGGGCGAAGTCATAAAGTGGTACGTGTTCCTGATTTCCTTCTGGGGAGAGCAGATTGGTCACAAGGTTAAGAAGATATGTGATTGGTGAGAAAGGTTGATTTCTTCCCTTTTTTCAGTACTGGGAAAGGAACGAGGCCCTGTCAGTTGCTAAGCAGGCTCTCTTCCCTGAGCTACATCAGGCCTGTGCTTCTTTTGGTCATTTAATCCATCTAGGACTTGTGAGGTGCTGGTTAAACTGTCAGCTTGACACAAGCTGTAATCACCTGGGGAGACTGTAGGGTATGGGATCCCTTGGAGCTGCAGCTACAGACTGTTTTGAGCCGCCATGTGGGTCCTGGGAACTGAACTTGGTTCCTCTGGAAGGGCAGCCAGTGCTCTTAACGCCTGAACCATCTCTCCAGCCATGGCTTGTATCCTTGCAGTAGACATGTTTTAGTGTGACCAGGAAAGCTGGGCCAGCCCAGTGAAGCCCTTTGTTACCTTTACCAGGCGACTCTGGGGATAGGGCTGGTGGCTCCAACAGAGAGGCACAGCTCAGCAGGCAGAGTGGGGTGACTGTGGTTTCAAGGGAGCATCATGCTTCCAGTATTGTCTGGATGTCTGAGACTGTGGTGCCTGCAGTCTATGGCTCAGCCTAGACAGTGTCAACCCCCAAACAGTAGCCAACTTGAAGTTATTATTCTCCTGCCTCTGTCTCCTGAATGCTGGATTACAGGCTGTGCATCACCCTCCTGGCATGTTTTTTTAAGGTGTGGTTTCTGCTTGTTTGGTGGTTCTTCCCCTCACCCCCCAAGACAGGAGACAGAGGGTTTCTCTATGTAGCTCTGGCTGTGCTGGAACTCACTCTGTAGACCAGGCTGGCCTGGAACTCAGAGATTCACCTGCCTCTGCTTCCCAAGTGGTGGGATTAAAGGTGTGCACCACCACTGTCCAGTTTGCTTGATGCTTCTTAACCTCAGGATTTTGGTGCATTTCAGGAAGGCAGGGTGGGTTGGATTTGAGAGTGTTTCAAGACCTATTTACTGTAGCAGCCTGCATACAAGCTCTCCCCATAGCAGCTGTGGCCTCTTCCTTGGAGTACTGCCCTGCCTGGCACTAGAGGTGGTATGCCTGGCATGAGTAGATCCTGGTGTTGGTCCCTTCTTGTCCCACAAGACAACAGACTATTGAATTCTGTCCTCTAGTTACCACTGCCACGTCTACCCATATCCAAACACGGCTGAGGAGCGCAGGGAGATTCAGGAGGGGCTCAATACTCGGATCCAAGATCTTTACACTGTGAGTAAGCCGGGGCTCGGGGCATGTGAGAGACCATCTGCTTTCTCTGTTAGGCTAGTGGCTTGTTGCGGATGGTCACATGTATTCCTGACATTGAAAATCCCTGTTTTGCAGTTACAAAGCCAGGGGTAGTGGAGGGACTTAGAAAAGCTCTTTGTGTATCTTCAGTATGATGCTGAATTGTCCTTTGACCATGGAAGACAAGCTGTAGTGGTGGGCGTCACCCCACCCGCCTGTTTAAAGCTTGAGTTTCTCTTGATGGTGTTGAGGAGTCTTGATACCAGTGATAGGATGAGATTTTCACAGGTGGGAACGGAAGGGCTGGAGATGGGAGCTGGTATTGGGTTAGGCTATGCCTGGGTGTAGGCCAGAGTCAAAGGGCTGTTTGCGTCAGTCAGATCACCCTTCTGCCAGTGACAGGATGTCTAAGCTCTTCCTGTCTGTTCTAGGAGGCCACCTGTGTGTCCCCTGCAGAGCTGGCAGCCTCTGGCCATTCCTGGTGTTATTGCCATGGGAACAGGTGCCCTGAACGGAGGTCAGGCTGTTGGACAAGAACCCCCCACGCTTGTTCCTACAGGTGCTGCACAAAACGGAGGATTACCTGAGGCAGGTGCTGTGCAAGGCCGCCGAGTCGGTGTGCAGCCGCGTGGTGCAGGTGAGGAAGATGAAAGCCATCTACCACATGCTCAACATGTGCAGCTTCGACGTCACCAACAAGTGTCTCATCGCCGAGGTCTGGTGCCCCGAGGTAGACCTGCCAGGCTTGCGCAGAGCACTGGAGGAAGGTTCGGTAAGGCTCCCTGCCCCACCAGGACCCTCAGACCCAGACCACTTAAGGACATGGTGTGTCACCAGCTGGACATGGTACTTCAGACTTGTGATCCCAGGACTGCTGAGGCTGTGGCAGAAGGATGGAGAGCTTGAGGCCAGCCTGAGATATCGTCTCAGACAACCCGGAAAACATTTCTGAGTGCTGGGAAGGGGCTTGCCAGCACTGCTTTCAGACAGGCTTTGAAGAGTGAGTCTCTGGCGTTGGACAGATAGCTCAGTGGTTAAGAGCCTGGGAATTGAACCTGGCTACTCTTCCAGAGGACCTAGGTTCAATTCCCAGTGCCCACATAACAGCTCACAACTGTCTGTAACTCCAGTTCCAAGGGTTTGACACCCTCATACAGTGTAACAACAATTCACAGGAAAAATATAAAGAAAGAAGTAGAAGAGTTGGTCTCTTAGGCACTGTGGGGAGAACATTCTAAGCTGTATTTCTGAGTAAATAAAGCACTGTTCAAATCACAAGGCAGATTGCCACAGAAGCACTTCCTCCTGGATACAGCCTCTTCAGCCCCTCCCCTGGGCCACTGCTTCACTCCTGTTTCATCTCTGTCACACACTCCATCATAGGAGGCCAGATAAGATTTGGGATAGGCAGCCTTTCTTTTTCTCTCTTTTTTAGTTTCCAGAGATCTGGAAAGTGCAAAGGACAGTGGGTAGTGGCTGGTCTGGCTGCCTGACATTGGCTCTCTAAACAGCAGATTGCTTGTTCTTTCTGCTGAATAAAATGTCTCTTTTCATGACCAGATTCCTTTGCAGACACACACCTTGGTTTATTACCTGGTTTTCAATCCATCAGGTGCTTTCTGGTTACAAACACTACTGCATGGAACATCCCGTGCGTGACCTTTGAAACTTAGCATCTGCTGGTCTTCAGAAGGATTTCTCCAGCTCTGGCTCTTGCTAAACAAGGCTGGGTTCCTTCCTGTTTGCCAGAGAGGCACTTGGCTCACTCTCCATGTTGACATGCACGCCGTTGGCTCTTTCCCCTGGCGTTGGTCTTTTTCTCCTGTTTTTCGTTGTGGATGGTGCACATTTCTAGGCAAGTGTGCAGAGAAAATTCTGCAAAGATAAAGTTTTGCTTTTTTCTTACCCACTTTTCTTTTTTGTATATTAGGTAATGTAGTTTTGTCTAACTTCCTCCTTGCTGAGCACTTTAATTTTTATTATGCATTGTGTACGTGTGTGGGTACTTGTGGAGGTCAGAGAACAACTTGTGGGAATCAGTTCTCTCCTTCTACCATGTGGGTCCCGGGAATTAAACTCAGGTCATTAGGCTTGTAGGCAAGTACCTTTACCCACTGAGCCATCTCACCAGCCCTTTCTTGACCACTTTTAAGAGATAAAGTCCTAACCAGGTGCTGGTAGTGCACACCTTTAATCTCAGCACTTGGAAGTCAGGGGCAGGCAGATCTCTGTGAGTTTGAGGCCAGCCTGGTCCACAGAATTGAGGTCCAGGACAGCCAGGACTACACAGAGAAACTGTCTTGGGTGGGGGTGGTGAAGGAGGTGGTGATAAAGTCCTAAATATCAGGGTTCTCTCTGCTGTTTGAGATATGGTCTTGCTCTGCGTCTAGGCTGGGCTCCCATTCAAGAGTCTCCTGTTGAAACCTCTCCAATGCTGATGTCACATGTCAGTTTTCCATTGCCTTGGGCCTGATTCGGCCTCCATCTACCTTATCCCAGCATTCCATCCCTGCTCTCCAGTTCCATTCTGCTCTCCTGCTGAGGGCCCCAGCTCCAAGTTCTGTTCTCACGTCACTAGGCTCCACTGGGATGTCTGGCACAGTGACTTACTTCTGTGAACATGCACCCTCCACTTCCCCCCCACCCCACCAGAGCATGGCCAGCTGAGTCATGTGCTTGTCTGTAGCTGTTCTCATAGACAGTCGTATTTTCTATTCTTTTCTATGTGGAAGAGAGAGAGCGGAGCTACAATCCCCTCGTTCATGAACACAATTCCTACAAAAGAAACGCCGCCCACTCTGATCCGCACCAACAAATTCACCGAGGGCTTTCAGAACATCGTGGATGCCTATGGTGTCGGAAGCTACAGAGAAGTGAACCCAGGTGGGCATCTGGACAAGGCTGGTCTTACACTTACATCAGCTCAGCTTTGGTTTTGGTTGGGTTTCTGAGACAAAGTTTCACCGCATAGCTCTGAGTAGCCTATAATAATCAGGATGTAGTTCAGGATATAACCCAGGCCGGCCCTGAACCCTTGGTGATCTTCCTGGTTCTGCCTCCTGAGTGCTGGGATTATAGGTGTGTACCACCATGCCCAGCTCTGCTTTTTGATAGGGGAATGTAGTAAATGCTTATCAGGCAAACTCACTGTTGTCACTTTTTCAGCATAGTATAGCATTTAAATCACCTTACTGTGCTGCCCTGAGCTCGCTCTCTCTCTCTGCCTCTCTCTCTCTCTCTCTCTCTCTCTCTCTCTCTCTCTCTCTCTGTGTGTGTGTGTGTGTGTGTGTGTGTGTGTGTGTGTATGTGTGTGTACCAGCTCACCTAAGGTCCTGCTGAGAACTTGCCAACCTTCTGTCTCTACAGCTCTCTTCACCATCATCACCTTCCCGTTCCTGTTTGCTGTGATGTTTGGTGACTTTGGACACGGCTTTGTCATGTTCCTGTTTGCCCTCTTACTGGTGTTAAATGAGAATCACCCCAGACTAAACCAGTCACAGGAGGTAATGCATGCCTGCCAGCCTGTGCATGGTAGGAGCCATGACATCATTTGGCTGAAGGAGAGCTGTGTTTTGTCTATTGTTTTTTTTCCGTGGGGAGTGGTTGAGATGGCCTCAGGTAGTCCGGGCTAGCCTCAGACTTGCTACATATCAAACTCGTGATTTCCCTGCCTCCACATCCTGAGTTCTGGGATTATAGGTGTTTGTCCCACACCTGGCTCGAGCTTTGGGTGCAAAAGTGCTGTATAAGAGGAGTGTGCCTGTTAGCCCTGGTTTAGACATCTGCTGTTGCGGTTTTCTGGAGGAGTGGCTGTAATGAACCAGAATGAGCTTCCCCTGAGCCACTGTCCAGCAAGTGAGTCTGTGCTCACCATGTCTTTTCCCAGATCCTGAGGATGTTCTTTAATGGTCGCTACATCCTGCTGCTGATGGGGCTGTTCTCCGTGTACACTGGCCTCATCTACAATGACTGCTTCTCCAAGTCTGTGAACCTCTTTGGCTCAGGGTGGAACGTGTCTGCCATGTACAGCTTCAGTCACTCTCGAGAGGAACAAAAGAGGATGGTGCTTTGGAAGTAAGTGGTCTGGGGAACGAGGATGCGACAGGTGGGGTGTATATTTCTCAAGCCCCTTCCTCTGCACATGGTAACCTTGCTGTGCCCTCTCTTTCAGTGACAGTACCATCAGGCACAGCAGGATTTTGCAGCTGGACCCGAACATCCCTGGAGTTTTCCGAGGCCCCTACCCTTTTGGCATTGACCCTGTGAGTGCTTCCTTCCCATGTTCCTGAGCTAGAGGAGGTGCTGGGGTGCTGCTGTACCTCTTTAAGTGTAGACAGTGAAGCAGCCTGCCACCTGGGGAGCCAGGTCAATGCAGGAGTGGTTGGCAGCCATGGGTCTGTAGTCGTATCTACCAGTCTTTTCCTATGGTAGGAGTGACCCTTCGTGGACACCAAACAGGTTCTGAACTGCTGCATTGTTTGTGTGAATTGCCTTTGGTCTAGAGAGGAAGGTGAGGGGCTGAGGTGGCTCTAGGGTGCCAGGTTCCCCCTGTCCTATGACAGCTCAGTAGGCAGACCCCTGGAGGCCAAGACTTTGGGCCAGTGCCCTGAAGACTTTCTGAGGAGCTGTCCTGAAAGTGGATCTCACCACTGCCAAGTTGGCTGGGAGGGATGTAGGTGAAGCTGCTCAAGGGATGCACAGGACATGGCAGGTCTCAGATCTGCAGTCTGAACATGATCCAAAAGGTGAATGGCATTCACAGCATGTTAAGCTGCCCCACTGTAGCTAGATCCAGCAATGACTGCAGCCCTGGCCTGCAAGCTCCCCGGTTTTGATACTGAAGCCCTGGCCTGTGGAAGTCAGTTGAAAGCACCCCTTACAGAGATTTTCTTCCTCTGTAAACTGAGAGCAACCCCATCCTTTAGGGGAGCGCTCCAGCGCCTGCTGATGGAACTTACATTGCTTTTGTTTGGTCCTTAGATTTGGAACCTGGCCACAAATCGTCTCACCTTCCTCAATTCATTCAAGATGAAAATGTCTGTGATTTTAGGGATTATTCACATGACTTTTGGTGTCATTCTTGGAATATTTAATCACTTGTAAGTACATGTTCTAATTTGTTTTTCATATTTTATTTATTTGTGTGTTTAATTATTTATTTTGGAGTCACTCCTTCATTTTCCAAGAGTTGGGATTACAGGTATGATATGAGCCAGTGTATCTGGCTTAGCAGTTCTGAAGCCTATGCTTATAAACAAAGTTTGTCACTCCCAAGGGTTTTTTTAAAGTTATTTATTTTCTTACATGTTTCTTGCATTTATTTGTTGAGGGATGGGAGATGGTGTGCATCACAGTACATATGTGGAGGTCAGGGAACAGCTTTTGGGATTGTTTCTCTCCTTCCACCATGGGAGGGTCCTGGGGACTGAACTCAGGCCACCAGGCTTGGCAGCAAATGCTTTTACTCAATGAGCAGTCTCTCTACCACCAACACTCCCTTTAAAATGTATGTATATTCATACAGTATGTGTGTGTACATGTGCACTTGTGTGAATATGTACATCAGAGGACAGTTTGTGGGAGAATTTTTACCTTTTTCTACCATGTGGGTTCTGGGGCATGAACTCGGGTTGTCAGGCTTGGTGGCAGTTGCCTTTACCTCCTGAGCCATCTTTTATGTGTGGATGTTGCAGGTATGTCTGGGTGCCATGTGTCTGGTGCCTGTAGAGGCCAACGAGGGCATCAGAGCCCCTGAGACTAGATGATGGTGGTGAGCCACCATGTTGGTGCTGGGAATTAAACCCAGTCCTCTTGAATAGCTAGTGCCCTCAACCACAGAACCATCTGTCCAGTCCCTAAGTTTGTTTCTTGATGCTAGGCTGTTGACTGGGCTGAGAGTTGATCTGATGGCGCATGGTAGGATGTGGTGCTGTTTTGATTATTTAGTTTAGCAATTATGGGAGATCAGTGATTTATCTGTTCAGTGCATAACTTCAGATCGGGTGCCATCCTGGGCACCAGGCTTCTGCAGAGAATGGAGAGGGACCTGACCTTTGCCTTCCTGGAGCTCCGTCCAGGTAGTGAGGCATGTGACATGAATACAGGATTATTCCCAGAAGGGACTTTGCCACATTTTTGTTGTTCTAAAGTAGAAAGCTCTCCATTTGTTTTGTGGGAGAGCCAGCACCTTGGCAGATTTTTCTCCTTGCTGACCATGTTTCTCATGACAAAGCATGATTTGCATCATGTAACACTATTGCTTTAAGTCCTGGCAGAGCTGGGACATTGAACAAATTGTCCAAGGTGGTGAGTGCTTTGAGACGCCCAGGGCTGGATAACATGCATGCTGCTTTTCCAGAGGACTACACCTGAGTTCTGCTCTCAGCACCCATGGTGGGTGGCTCACAACTGCCTGTAGCTCCAGCTCTAGGGACATTTGTTGCCTTTGATTCTGTAATCAAGTGAATCCGCCCCCCACCACTCCTGACATACTCACACATAATTGAAAATATTTTTTATAATGGGGGGGGCTGGAGAGACAGCTCCGTTGTTAAAAGCATTTGTTGCTCTTGTAGAGGACCTGGGTTTGGTCCCCAGTGTTCACATGGTGGCTCACATCACAGCCTGCTGTGGCTCCGGTTCCAGGGAGCTTACAGCCTCTTCTAGCCTCTGGGGGTACCAGGCGTGATCATGGTGTACAGACACACCTTCAGGCAAAACAGTCATACACATAAAATTAAATACATTTTCAAAAATGGATTTCATTAAAACAAGTTTTTTAAATCTTAAAAAAAAAAAACAAACCCCAAACTCTAATACTTTGAAGCCAGACTCAATAGCAGCATGTTTGTGTGTATGATCCTGTGGTTCGCTCTCTCCTCTGTGGGGAGATCTGCAGCCCTGGCTCGAGCCATCAGAGCCCTCTGTGGAGGCCAGAAGTGGCCTGTGGCACTGCAGCAGTAGCCTTTCAGCTGTCACTCCACCCCTCTCGCAGGCACTTCAGGAAGAAGTTCAACATCTACCTGGTGTCCGTCCCTGAGATCCTGTTCATGCTCTGCATCTTTGGGTACCTGATCTTCATGATCATCTACAAGTGGTTGGCATACTCGGCAGAGACCTCTAGAGAGGCCCCCAGCATCCTGATCGAGTTCATTAACATGTTCCTGTTCCCATCCAGTGAGACACATGGCCTCTACCCAGGGCAGGTGAGTGCCCCTCTACTTGGTAGTGACAGCCCCTGCACTCAGCACTCTACATAGTCCATGACAAGGAAGGCTGCATCGAAAGCAAGAGTGTGAAGTGTTTCTATTTTTCCTTTTGCAGTGTTCTCAGAAAGTTATTAACTGGAGTTTGACTCCATTTAGATTGGTTTGTTTGTTTTGTTTTTCTAAGACAGGGTTTCACTCTGTAGCCCTGGCTGTCCTGGAACTCACTCTGTAGACCAGGCTGGCCTCAAACTCAGAGTTCTGCCTGCCTCTGCCTCCAGAGTAATGTGTTTAAAGGTATGAGCCATTACCACCCGGCTAGATTTGTTTTTTAAATAATGGAATGCTTCATAAAGTTACATGCCATCTTTTTACAGGGACCATGCTAATCTGTTTGGTTACAATATTTTATTGTGTGATACCAGAAGGACTTCCTGTTTAGAATTTGTGTGAGGGTGTGGGCACCTGTGTCTCCAGGCCAGAGGTCAACTTTGGATGTCATCCCTCAGGCACCATTCACTGTGTGTGTGTTGGTCTGTCTGACCTGGAATTGTCAAAATAGGCCAGCGTGTCCAGCTATGGAGCCTTTGCTTCCCCAGAATTGGGTCACAAGCTTGTACAGCCACAGCGGGCTTCAAACTCAGTCCGGATTGAGTCATTGCCCAAACCTCCCGTTAGAGTTTTCCTAAAGTATTTCTCCTGCTTTAAAAGTAATATTTGAGTGCTGTGTCTTGAACATTGTGAGTTGGAAGGAGTGTGGAGGGTCGCCCTTGGCCACAGGACTGGGCGGTCACCTGTCTTGTGCCCCTATCCCAGAGATGCCCTGGCCCTCATAGTCTGCTGCACACCTCCATGACTTCTCCTTTGCACTGACAGGCGCATGTCCAGAGAGTGTTGCTGGCCCTCACAGTGCTGTCGGTTCCTGTGCTCTTCTTAGGAAAGCCACTCTTCCTGCTGTGGCTGCACAATGGGCGCAGTTGCTTTGGGGTGAGCCGGGTGAGTGTGGTCCCCATGTCCAGAGGTTCTGATTCTTCCAAAGCTGGCTTTATTTAGAGCCTTGATGTTGCTACTGGGCTGCAGCTTGAGTGATAAGACTGTTATGACATGCGTGCACAGGCATTTCCTCAGGTCTCTCTGAGGACTGACTCTCCTGGGTGTATGTCCAGGAGTGGAGGTGCCAGGTCACGAGACCGTTCTAGTTCTGTATTTGCATTTTTGAGGACCTGCCATACTTTTAGCAGCTGGACCATTTTAAACTCCCAGCAGGAGTGTTGTAGGATTCTAGTTTCTTGATTTTTGCCAGCACTTGTATTTTCCATTTCCCCCATTGCTCTTTGACAGGCTAAAAGTATATGAGGTGTGCATTCTCCTGAAGACAAATTTCTTATTCCCAGAGAGCTGAGTCATAAGAGAAGCGGTTATTTGGGCTTTGTCCTAACCCTGTGGCAATCCAGGCGCTGACACTGTTCTTTTCCCGTTAGAGCGGTTACACGCTTGTAAGGAAGGACAGCGAGGAAGAGGTTTCTTTGCTGGGCAGCCAGGACATAGAAGAGGGGAGCAACCGCATGGAAGAAGGCTGCCGGGAAGTGACATGTGAGGAGGTTAGCTGTGAGCTCACTGGCTGGGTGGGTGAGGGAGGAGGCTGTTCAGTAGCTGCTTACTGTGGGCTGACTGCAGTTTTAATTCAGGCCGAGTAATAGCATCACAAGTACACAGAGCAAAGGAAGTTGTGAGGCAGAGTCAGGGTGCTCTTCGTGGGGAGCACCCTCTACCCTCCCTCTCTGGCCTCAAGCATGAGGCTCCACTGTGCACCTGAGGCTGGGAAATGTCCATGTAGATGCTGGGTAGTTTCTGAGGTTAGCTCAGCTGTCAGTGAAGTCTCTAACCGTGGGGCCCTTAAGGCAGTCACAGTTCTAGGCTGGTGTTTGCGTCACAGAATGGGAACTGAAGCTTGAATAGAGTCCGGGAGCTAGGGTGGGGAGATGGGTTGGTGAGCCCCACAGTTTCACTGAGAGCAGGACTCACATCTCGGACCTGCTGTTTTTAGATGCCAGCATGCTCTGTCCCTGAGGCCAGCCAGAGACTCAGAGTGGAGCAGGTCTGTGATATGGTGTCTAATGTTCTCTGTTGTCCCTCAGTTTAACTTTGGGGAAATCCTGATGACGCAGACCATCCACTCCATCGAGTACTGCCTTGGCTGCATCTCCAACACTGCGTCTTACCTGAGGCTTTGGGCCCTCAGTCTGGCCCATGCACGTATGTTGCTTAGTCCTGAGGAGTGTGTAAGCTCTCCATGTGGTGGTGGACAAGGGCTCTTCATAGTTTGGACCCACCTTCCTATCACACAGGTCATAGTCCAGGCCTAGCCATGGAGGGTTCTGTGAACTGAGGGCCTGGTGACCTCTGGCACGGATGCTCATGTTTGTGAGTGCCCTAGCCATTGCTTTCCTTACTGAGTGGAGTATTTATTTCAGACTCCTGGAAGTCAGTCCTCATGGTCACGTTCTGCTCATGCACAGATGAGCCCCCAGCATGGCTTGTGAGCCTGTGTGTAAGACACACCTGTGTGCGGTGTTCTTTAGTTTGTAGGTTGCCTTACCCTGTGCATTGTAATGAGAGGCCATGTCACTTTTTCTGGTCACTGACCGACTTCACCTCACAAACAGTGAAACATGCACTTTGTTGCCTTGATACTCATGACAGACCCTGGGACATGTGAGACAGATGGGTAATCATGAGAGGGCATTGACCAACAGGGAACAAAGCAAGGCCCTCTGTGTCCCTAGATGTGAAGGTGAAGAGGCTGCCTTGTTGGCAGTAGCAGACCCAGACTTCGAACAGGTCACCTTGCTAGGTTCAGACAGGACTGTCAATCCAGTCTGGGCCTCAAGCCTGCTGAGTTAGGCAATCGGAGGGCACGCTGGAACCTCTTTAAGTTTGCTGTTCTTTGCAGAGGCTCAGGGCCTCTGCTGGGTGGTGGCCAGGGGAGGGTGGGGAGGGCGGGGGTCGGGGGTAGGCTGACTGGTTGTCATTCCTGCTGTCACGTGGGTGGTGAGAGGGCTTATGTTTTCACAGTCTGAATTCTGCTAAATGGCTTCCTTTGCAGAGTTGTCTGATGTGCTGTGGGCCATGCTGATGCGTGTGGGCCTGCGTGTGGACACCACCTACGGGGTCTTGCTGCTGCTACCTGTCATGGCTTTCTTTGCAGTTTTGACTATTTTTATCCTCCTGGTCATGGAAGGGCTTTCTGCGTTTCTCCATGCCATACGCCTTCACTGGTGAGTGAGATGTGTCCTCAGAACGGTGTTTTAAAAGTAAAAATGAGGGTCAGAGAGATGGCTCAGTGGTTAAGAATGTGAAGTGCACTTTCAGAGGACTCAAGTTCAGTTCCCAGCACCTGTATCAGGAGCTCACAACCCTGTCACTCTAGCATGAGGGCACCGGTGGGGGCCTCTGGTCTCTGCAGGCACCTGCACTCGCGTGCACATACACAAGACACGCGGTACTATAAAAATACAACAGATCTTCTGAAAAGGGTGCAGGAGCTGGCAAGGCAGCTCAGTGGGTACAAACACTTGCTACCAAGCCCCGTTCAGTTACCGGGACCTGCATGGGAGAGGGAGAGAACCGATGCCCAACAACTGTCACCTGACAGTCACATGTGTAATAAGTGTACCCACCCACATATGCACATGTGCAAATGCTAATGGCTAATAAAAAATTAAAAAGCCACCTATTAAGGAAAAAATACATGTGTGTAAAACTCCTTTCTAAATGCAGTGCTTATAATGGCTAGCTCCTCCCCACCCAGCTATGAATTAGCAGTTCAGAAACAAAATACAATTTAATCACAAGTAAAAGAAAGTTTCTGACTGTGAAACAGTTGTGTATCCTCTCCTTAATTGTTGTTATCATTGTTTTTGGTCTTATTATGTAGACCAGGCTGGCCTCAAACTCACAGAGATCGCCTTGCCTCTGCCTCTCACGTGCTGGAATTACAGACAGGTGCCACCATGCCTGACTGGTGTTTGTATCCACTTTTATCCACATTGGGAGTCGCAGGTGTCACTGACAATTCTGGATTAGTACCTTCCTTTTTGTTGTGAGGTCAGAGGTCAACTTGCAGGAGTTAGTTGTCTTTTTACTGTGTGAGTGGCTAGAGATTGAACTCCGGTTGTTCGGCTTGGTGTCACATGCCTTTACCCCCTGGGCCATCTCGGCAACCTCCAGGGTGTTCTCAGTGCTTCTCAACACGTGTGTTTGGCTGCGGCTCTGTGGTTCCAGTGTCTCTTCCTCCGTGTGTCTAGTGTATGAGAGCTGGAGGTGTACTAGACTTTTCTGACACATACAGGGGTGTGCGGAGAGACCAGGATGGAGGTAGGAGCCAGGTTGGATGGGGGCCGCCTAGTGTGTGCTGGGGAGCAAATGATGAGGTGAAAATGTTTGTGCCGAGAATGCAAAGAGATGGCAAGATTTCACTCTCAGTCCCAGGGTGCAGTCCTTGGTGAGGAAGGCATTGTGTTTTAATACATACTTGTTTCTCTTTTTGTAGGGTTGAATTTCAGAACAAATTCTACGTTGGTGCAGGCACCAAATTTGTTCCTTTCTCCTTTAGTCTGCTCTCCTCTAAGTTCAGTAATGACGACAACATAGCATGATCCACGTTGCTGCAGCCACCCCGCTCTCAGATTTATGGAGAACTATCATGTTACAGAATTCACTCAAGTCAGATTTCTGACAGGAAAATTCCAGCCTCGTTGATTGCCTTATGATTCAGCCAAATGATTCTGTAAGATACGCCTCTCCTCATGTTGAAGATTTTGTAGTGCTCACCACTTTGGACACAACAATTTTGTTGGTTTTTATTATGAGCAAATATAAATTATGCCAACATTACATTAAAGTTATTTTTTAAAGTGTAAATTTGGAGGAGAAAAGCCAGCTGAATGGCTAGCTAAAAATGGTTATAGATACTTGATACCCTTTCAATTTTAAAAAACACAAAGTTATTCCATCACAAGAAGATGCCAGATAATATTTTCCCACAGCTCAAGCTAGACATAGTGTTTTTTTTTCAGATGTTACCGCTGGGTCATCAGTAGATCCTGCTCACCCTGCTGGCTCAGGAATGTGTGTGCATTCTCCCTGATCCCTGCCAATCACCAGGAGGGGCAGCAACGCAGCCCAATCTTGTTTTAATATTTGGAGGAAACGGGAGAATATGACAACAGATGGCTTTCCTGCTTGTATATTTTTACAAGAGTCTTGTCCTGTTACCTGTATGTCATACCAGTCATGATGGTTGTACATTTGGAAAGATGACGGTATGACTGTCCTGAGCCTTAAAACCCATGCCACTGCAGGGAAGACAGGTAGAAGTAGTGTGTATTTTTATAGCAAAGAACAAATGAAGATATTTTACCAGAAACCTTGTGTCTACTTGGGAACAGTATAATTTTCTACTTTTCACACTGATTCTAAATAAAGGTCTGATGGCCACAGTTTAATTTCCAAAAATTGTTCAGGTCAGTTGAAAACTAATTGTCATTAATCTATTAATTTATTATCACGAGTATAAAAATCACCTGTTCTTGGGTTGCTTAGCTTTGCATGAAGTTGACTTAGTCCCGTTGAACACAGTGATCTGTGTCATAGTCTTATAAATTATGTTCATTTTCGCATTTTACATTAAGTGATTTTAGATTAAGTATTTCAAAAAGAAGCCTGAGGCTGGGGTGTTGCTTGCTTGCTAGACCCTCCGACCCACCTCTCTCAGGTGTGGTGACACCTGCCTCGTATTCCTAGCATCCTAAGGTGGAGGCAGAGGATCACAAGTTCAGGGCTACCCTTGGCTATGTGGTAAGTTTGAGGCCAGCCTGGGCAACATGACACCCTAAAGAGAAAAAGGAGTTTAACATATTTCTGCCCTCTTGCAATTTTGAGTCACATGCTACTGCAGAGGCCAGCTGGTCCCCGCCCCTCCACTCCGTGTGGTAGTGTGGGGCTCCTTGATGAAAAGCCAAGCCTCTGGCAGTTGGAGCAGCCTCCCAGGCTTTTAAGGCGTTTCCTGAGACTCTCCCTGTGCCTGGACTGTAAGTCGCTCCTCTCTAGCTACAGCAGAGTCTGCACCGCCCGGCAGTGAACGCCAGTATTTGTGCCGTGTGCCAGCTTCCTTCCTGGCAGCTCTGATGCTGAACCTGCTAGTGGCTGGGGATGAGGTGGTACTGCTCAGGGTTAGACCTGCTTTTACCTGTATCCAGTGTCACTCCCATGCTGTCACTCTCCTTACTATTCCCCAGGGTCTTTGGTCCTCACGGAGTTAATTGATTCCAGGGACAATGGCCAGACAGGAAGTGCAGTTTTGGCCATGTTCACTATCCCTGTTGGCCATTATTATGGAGCTACTTTTCCTTTCTAACTAGCACCTCTTACCAGGGTACAGATTGAAGAATGAGGGTGTCACAGTTATATGGAATGGCATTACATAAATTACTCCTTTTGTGGACACCCTGGAAATATAATTGATAGCATCCCACAGAGGGAAGCAAGCAACTGTTGTATGGTGTCATGCTCATCTTCCTGGAACATCAACAGACCCATGTCCTCTGTTCAGGTGTTCACTACCACATCACAGAGACTTCTGTTGGTGGAGAGGCCAGATGTGGCCAGTAGAGGCATGCAAAGGAGTTTGAGCTCTTGGACTCTCCCTCCACCATGAGACCTGGGACAGACTCCTCTTCTGGCCTCAGTTCTAGAATGGGTCTGTATGCTTCGAGATATTTAAGCCACTCATGCAGGTCTTGGAATTGTAATCCTCTTGCAGCGCTGGGCTTGGCCCAGGGTTCCTATAATGACATTCAGACCAGTGTTCCATCAGCACTTGTGTAAGAGGCGTAGACTATCCGTTGGTGACTTACGGGGCTGGCAAATCAAGCTGTGATTTAGAGTTTGACCTACTTTAGGAAATAAAAACAAAAACAGCTTCATCAGTTCTTTTTCTTTCAGAAGGACATTTCTCTACTGAAGTTTTTACTCGGGGTTTGCTTACGTGCCATACCCCCCCAGGCAGACCTTAAGATCTCTGCCATGATGCTGTGAGTAGGGAGTTTGCAGTAATGCCTTTCCCACCTGTGGACCGCTGCTGTGGGGCTCTGCTCCAGCTCCTCAAGAAATCCTTGGAAGATGCCACTCCCGAGGGATGATGTAACAAGCCTGGGTTCTGGAGCCTGGACCTGGGGCAGAAACTACAGGAGCCGATCAGGGCTGCACTGCACAGAGGCATGGAAGGACTAGTTTGCCTGTCAGTATTGAACTTCCTTTTGCTAGTGACAAATAAATATATATTTTTGGGATGCCTGTGCCTTGTTTTCTTGCGTTTCTGCTTCCTTACTCCCTATGCCAGAAAGAGCTGTTCCCTTTCTAGGAGCCCACTGGGGGTCTTCATTCCCTCCTTAGGACCCACAGGTGTTCGTTCTCACAGTGTCAATCACTGAGACCAGCCTTGCCTGCCTGCCCTGCTGGTTTGCTTCTGTTGCTGTGATAAAACACCAACCAAAAGCAACTTGGAGGAAGAAAGAGTTCATTTGATCCTAGGTTACGCTCCATTGTTAAGGAAGCGCACAGCAGAGACCTTGGAAGTAGAGACCTTGGAAGAACACTGCTTGCTTGTTTGCTCCCCATGGCTTGCTCAGCTATCAGCCCAGCTGCAGCCCCCATGCCTGGGGAGGCGGCGGGGGTGGGGTATAGTACCGACCCCAGTGGTCTGGGCCCTCCTACATCAATCAGTAACCAAGAAAAGGTGGTTATGCCTCAGCCGAGATTCTCCTTTCCCAACTAAATGTAGGTTTGCGTCGTGTACTTACAGAAATTAACCAGTTCACTGCTTCTAGTCCTGCCTGTTTCCACCTCAGAGCCCTGTCCTTATCACTTCTCAGCAACCAACTTTCTTGCACTTCAGCTTTCCTACCTGCGGAATGGGGCTCTCAGCCCCGCGCCGGCGCCGTTGCCCAGGTGCCCGTTGCTAGGGGCGCCGTTGCCACGGACGCCGCCCGACTCCCCGCCCTGTCCGCCTTTCGTCCTGCACCGCTCAGGTCTACGCTATGGACGACCTGCGGGTCCTGTGGATGCGCGACCGCGTGTACACCACTTTCAACCTCAGCAACCCCAAGCTGTTCGAGGAGCTGCTGAGCCGCAACGACTGCGAGGCAGAGGACCTCATCCTGCACTTCCTCAACCACGCAAGCGACGAGGAGGGCGCCGCCACGCTGTTCTTCTATCGCATCCTGGTGCCCGAGGAGGTGGAGGTGGAGATTGGTGAGCCTGAACAAAAGCCAGCCTCCAGCCAGCACCCCGCTGGCACTTAGCCCTACTGTGTGCCCCGGGTCGTAGCTTCTGTTTTCATCTGTCCTCTGAGGTGCGCTGCAGGGTTGCGTCCTTGCCCGGGCACCGAGGAGGCCCAGAGTCTTCCTGTAAGATGCCTCCCAGCGGGAGGGTCTCAAGGCAGGAGCCTGCAGAGGCTCAGGGGAGCTCGCCTTCCATGCCTAACCCCCACTACTCTAAAAAGTGGCAGCAGGCCAAAGTAGTGCAATCCCAGCTGAGGTAGGATCACCTGAGGACCAGAGCAAGTCCGAGGATCACCTGAACTCCATAGCAGCCGAGAGGGGCAGGGAGGGGGGGGGGGAGAGAAAGATAGAGAGGGAGATACATATTGTTAGGATACACTATGCCTGTTTTCATTAACTATTCTTTGTTTTCATTACGTACTACAATGTGAGACAGAGTCTCATAACCCAGGCTGACCTAGAATTCACTGTGTAGCTCAAGGTACCCTCAAACTCTCAATCCTCCTGTCTCAGCCTCACTGGAATCTAACCATTCCGTCTTCATTTTTCTTCCCCAGGTGGAACTTTGAACCTGAGCCCATTATCCTGGACCTCTGGGTTAAGCCCATTCATTACAACCAAATAAAAATATGAATTTCAGAATACACTAATAGGATTCTGTATACATTTTAAAAAATAACAAAACACACACACACACACACACACACACACACACACACACACACACACAAAAACCTAACCAAACAAACAAACAAACCTGCACCAAGACCCTAATGTCTTGCACTCTTCCGTGGCTCTAGCTAGCAGCAGGCAATTGTCCCCCGCTGAGTCTAACTTGGTTTCAGCCCCCTGCTGGAGTGCCTCCACTCTGCCAGTGTTGGGTTCTTATTCTAGAGCGCCCCCTGGCTCATTTCTGTCCCTTCTTTTTCAAGATAAAGTATTGTGTAGACCAGGCTGGCCTTGAACTCCCGATCCTTCTGCCTCTGCCTCCGGAGTCCAGGGACTACAGACCTGCACCAGCACACTGGGTTCATTGGAGCAGTTTCCAGGCTGCGCCCAGCGCTGCAAAACGTTCTATGGTGTGGTGTTACAAGCCTCTCTCATACTCACTGGTTGCTTGCATTTCTTCGGGGTGAAGGTGTGTCCTTCACCCTCAACTCAATTGGCACAAATCTCCCTTGCTGGTTCCAGCACCATGATGTTTTGCAGTGACATTTACAAGTCCCCCTCCCCCCCAGGGGGGGTGTCCCTACCCTTTGGCTTCACTTGAAGCAAAGGTTTGGCCATCTTATACAGGGATAAATCTATTTTGTATTTTCTTCCCCACGATGGTTCCATAAAGAGGAAACTCCTGTGATCCCCGAAGAGGAGGCTGAGGAAGATGAGTCTGAATCTCAAAAAGCAGGTGGCACTGATAAAGTGACCGGTGAGTGTCTGGAGGGACAGAGGCCACTTTCACATGGGGAGTCTGTGGAGCTGGTGGTGGATATGTGCATAAGGGTCACATGGCCTTAATAGGACAGCAGAACACAACAGAAATATCTTTCCTCAGGTCCAGAGGCCCAAGGTGCTGCCAGGGCCATATCCCCTCTGAAAGCTCCAGGGGGCTTTCCTTCCTCAGATGCTGCTGGCACTGGCACCCCTTGGCTTATGGGCACACCAGTCCCATCCCTCCTTTGCCATCATATGGCCTCTTTCCTGTCTGGGCTCACAGTGTCACTTCCCTTACCCAGGCAAAGATTGAGGCAGGTGTGTGTATGTGTGTGTGTGAGCGTGTGTGAGTATGTGAGTTTGTGCATGTATGGTGGTCAAATTTAGGAACAACAACAGATAAGTTTTTTTTTTTTTTTTTTTTTTTTTTTTTTTTTAAGACAGGACTTCAATAATGAGCCTGGGCTACATGAGACTGCCTTAAAAAGCAAAACTCATAGCACAAAACTCAGCGTTAACAGTTTTATCGGTGTGTGTATGCACACACTTGCATGCACCTACATGCACCCACACAGGTGAGTGTACTGTACGTGAGTGCATGTAAAACTGCGTATGTTCACACACGCACACACACACACACACACACACACACACACACACAGAAGCCACATGACAACCTTAGGTGCTATTCCTCTGGAGCAGGTATCCTCAGACACAAGCCCCCTCACTGGCCTGGCTCAGACACAAGCCCCCTTACTGGCCTGGCGTTCACTAATAGGCTAGGCTGTCTGGCCAGTGAACCCCAATGGTCCTCCTGTTTCAGCCTGGAAATACAAGCCTGTGCCTCCACACGGCCTTTCTATATGGTTCTGGGTTTGAACTTGGGTCTTCAGGCTTATACCGTAAACACTTCACCCATGGAACCACCCATCATCTGAACCCTAGCCCAACTTCAGCTATTTCCAGTGACATTAAACACACCCCTGAGTGTGGTTTTGGTATTGCCTGCATGCCTGTAAGTATACCATGTGTATGCAATACCTGTGGAAGCCAGAAGAGGGCACCTGAACACATGGAGCTGGAGTTACAGATGCTTGTGAGCTGCTGTGTGGGTTCTGGGAACAAAACCCAGGTTCCCCTGGAAGAGCAGCGAGTGCTCTTAACCTCTGAGCCACCTTTTCAGCTATCATCTCAATATTTTTTGAGACAGGGTCTCCTGTAGGCCAGGCTGGCCTTGAACTCTGTAGCCAAAGATGACCTTGAACTGCTGATCCTCCTGTCTCTGGAGTGCCGGGTGGAGGTGTGTGACACCATACCTCGCTGTTTGTTTTGCCCAGTTGGAGATGGAGCTCAGGGTTTTGCATACACTAGACAAGTGTCAGCTGCTGAGTTACACCTTAGCCTTACGACTCTTATTCATAAACCTCCTGTAAGGTTAAACACACACACACACACACACACACACACACACACACACACACAACTCAGAGAAAACAAATGCTAGACACCACAGCCACAATGTCGGATTTTGGGCATGTGGCCTGCTGTGACATCTATACTCCTGTCCTTTGCAGATCATGTGATAGAGGACAGGAACTGTCATACTAAGGCATCTGGATGGTGGGAACCCTTGTTCCCAGCAGACTCATCTGATTGGATTGTGTTTTGCAGTCAAGCATTCGAAGCTGAGAAATGACTCCACGACCCCCTCCCTGTTCACCACGGATGAAGATGACTCAGAGAAAGAACACTTAGAAAAAACGTCTGGCAAGGTGTGCCCTGCCCTGTATCTATCCTTGTTGGCATAGTGGCCTAGGGGGCCCTCATAAGACAGGGTGGCAGGCTCCAAACGTGCAAGGGACACAGTGTGCTCGAGTGGGGATTCCAGAATCTTGTGTTGAGATTTCCCAGAATGCCATTAGATTCATTGCTAACTGAGGAACTTACAGGAATCAGGAAAGCTGTCCCACCAGGAGTTATGGCTTAGGGAAAGGAGGGAGCCATAATGTACTGGCACACATGTGATACACAGACATGCATGCAAGCAAAACATTCATACACGTGGAATAAATAAATCTTTAAAAACCCAAACCTTTATTTATCTACGTAAATTCTAGTCTATTATTGTATTTGTATGGTTGTTTTACCACATGTGGGAATGTGTATGCCATACATACCCGGCACCTTCAGAGGCCAGAAGAGGGGGTCAGACACCTTGGAACTGGGCTTAAAGATGTTTGTGAATCACCATGTGGGTGCTGGAAACTGCACCCAGATTGTCTGGAAAAACAGCTAGTTCTCTTAACCACTGAACCATTTCTCCTGCCCCAATAAATCTATCTTTTAAAAAGGAGTACTTACACACACACATACACACACACGAACAATTCCCACAGAAGTCCCACAACCAGCCAGCCAGCCAGCCAGCCAGCCAGCCAGCCAGCCAGAGGTAGCTGATTTCTCTCACTGGTCCTCCTCTCCAAGCTCCCCACCTACCTTTCCTAGATGAGCTTCACTGTTATCCCTGTGCATGCCTAATGGAAGCTGCAGGCTCAGGGCTCAGGTCTGGATGGATTAGC